GATTCTGTCCAACAACCTTGGCACGCTTAAAATAGCTGTGGAATTCCTTGCTTTCATCATGAGTCTTCACATGCATCACCAGAGGATCATCCGATAAATAAATATGTGCAAAAGTACACAATAAAATTCTATCATGAAGAGCCTCCACATTAATCAAACCCCGACCACCAGAATTGATTGGCATGTATAAACGGTTAAGAGAGGAACGAGGGTGGTGGGCTCTGTTGTCAGACATGATCCTTCTGGTCAGACGGTGAAGACTCTTGATGTCTTGTTTTGTCCAATCAACTACTCCAAAGGAAAAGGAAAGGACTGGCACAGCAAAAAGTATTGGTTGCTTTGACCTTGTTTCGAGCATTTAGCTCTGAGCTCCAGATTTTCTTTAAACGAGATTTGTACTCGTCCCGAAGTTCTTGAATCTGGGCATTCTGGAGCTTGTCTCGAACTTGCATTCCAAGATAGGTGTAGGCCTGATCTTCCACAAGATGCTCAATAACTCCTCCCCCTTGTAACTTGACCGATCCATCATTAACTACCTTGCCACGTTTCAAATGAAGAGTATTTCATTTGTCGAGTCCAAATGTCATGCCAATATCATTAGAAAAGGACTCGACAAGGAGAACCTGTTCTTTCAAATTGGAATCTCCTTTGGCAAGGAGCTCGATGTCATCCATGTAAAGGAGATGAGTAAGCGGTGTTGGTGATCTGTGCTGAGGAGGTCCGGGATGGTAACCCTCCTCTCTGTTGAGCAGAAAGCTCAAAGGATTTAGAGACAAACAAAAAAGCAAAGGACTAAAGGAGTCCCCCTGGAAAATTCCCCTTCTGATCGGAATAGATTCCGAAGTCTGCACCTGGCCTTGCGAGTACATCTCAAGTTGAGTCGACCAACAACTCATTAAAGACTTGAGTAAATCAAGTAGTCGCTCCGGGAGGTCAATACAATGAAGAGACTTGAGAATCCATTCGTGAGGAACAGAGTCGTATGCTTTTTTGTAGTCAATCCAGCACATGGAGAGGTTGCGGTGATATGCTTTTGCCTCTTCCAAAATCATTTTCTGTACAAGAAGTTGATCCTTGCACCCCCAACATCCCTTTCTCGCCCCCTTCTGCTCTCTGTAAATTAAATCATTAGAAGAGCAGTAAGATGACACGAGGTTTGTCAAACACCCTGTGAATATTTTATACTGAGTATTCAAACATGTGATAGGGCGGAATTTTTTGGGATCAGTCAAGTCTCCTTTCTTGGGGAGAAGTATTGTGCGACCTTTGCTGAACCATGGAGGAACATCACCTGTGTCCACAAGAGAATTGAAACAGTGAAGTAATGGTGTTTGGACACAGGGGAACAGTTTCCAATACCGGTTTCGAATGCCATCAGGCCCTGGAGCTGTATTAGATTTGGACTTTTTGATGCAATCTGGTTAGATGTAACAGACAAACGACCTGTTCACTTTCTCATGCATTGCATGGCCATAATCACTGACCCATGGTGCCTCCAGGTTACAGTCGCCGGGTATAGACCACAACTGTTTCCAGAACCTTTCATTGGCATCCATGGAAGGCTGTTCATCATGCTCACCATCACCGTTTGTTTTCAGTTGCCTGTAGAAGTGCTTTTCATTATTTCTAAAAAGTTTATTTTGTTTGATAAATTTATTTTTCTTTTCCCATTTTTTCTTTCTTTCAGTCCCAACTTTTATTTTTGCCTTAAGGGAATCGACAATTTGGAGAAGTACCTTTTCTTTTCTTGTCTTGTACTGCAATTTCAATTTTCTCCAAATTGTCTTTTGCCGTTTTGACATTGGACTCCTGATGATCTTAGTTTCAGGCACAGCTCTATCCAGGAAACGTATTTTCTAGTTTCTGTTAGTTTCACTTGAAACCGGTTTTCTTTGGTGTAGTCTTCTTAGTATTAGATGTTTTTTCTTTGGAAACTATGTGAAATTCCTCCAAGGTTCGAGCAGCAGCGTAGACACAACAATTAACTTCATGTAATGAACAGTCCGTAGAAAGTTTCATAGAAATAATGTCATTTAATAAATCAATTTCATGTTTGGGAAAAGATAAATTTGTTTGTTGAATTGGCCTCCGTTTTTCTAAAGATATATCAGATATTTCATCATAAATAGAATGAAACAAAATATACACAGGACTTTCGGAAAGATCTGCAACTGAAGAAGAGGAAGAGTGAGGGTCCGACATTTCGGGGCCAATTGGCTCTATGCCAGAAGAGTTTCCATCAGAAAGAGGAAAGAGGTTGACACGGACATCCATTACAAGTTTTGGGTCTGCTGCCACTTGAGCATTCTGCTCATGCAAAGGTTCCTGACGGGCACCAGTTGTGGGTTGAACTGGCTCACGGCGTATGAGATTTTTTAAGCCGCCGGAATTGGTCGCGGAGATTTTGCTCCGTCAGGTAAGCATACATGGGCATGGCATTGTCCCAATGCAGCTTAAGCAACTTGCCATTAATGCGTTGATTATAAGGCCACCCTGTCGCTTTCGCACACTAAAGTAGTGTGGATTTGAGATGGTTTGACCAAGATATTCTTGGCCGGGTTCTGTGCCTTCCCCTGGGGCAAGTCCCATCTCCAGTATGGTTTGTTTCTTTACCGGAGGAAGGCTGACTGGGATGCGGAAGTGAAAGATTGAATTCTTCTTGGTTTTCTGTAACCCAGTAATTTCCCAGCTTCGGGGGGTCAGCCCTAACTGGGTGATGTACGTTCAGTTCAGGGAATATAATTCCCCTATCTAGGCCCACCACGAAGAGGCGTACATCATTAGGCCATTATTATTATTATTATTATTAATTTTAACATCCGTTCACACGTACACCAGGGAGGACAGAAGAGAGTATCCCTGCGTACATGAAGAGAGTCCGTGCTCTCACACAGTTCACAGTCCCGTAGGTTGGTAGTACATCACTACATGGTTATTCCGGTTCAGTTATTCACGTTTATCCACTGTTCCTTTGAAGTTATTTTGTCTGTAGAGTGAGTATTATCCCTCTTTCCAAAATTCTTGTTTGTCTTTTTAAAGCAACTGGTAAGTCCGTTCGCACGGTGATTTTCTTCTGCCGAAGAACTTTTGATGATTTTATGGCTGCATGGTACACTCGTTATTTATTTTGTCCCAACACACAGCGAATCACGATGGGTTTGGCTAGTCTGTCTCACAGTCCCTGAACCACATTAATTTCCCTACTGCCAAGCCCTCTCTGCTGTGCTAAAGCCCTCAATAAAGCAAATCTAGATTTCCTCAGGTTCTGAATCTCTGGTCTCCCTAGAGCTCCTTTTCAATATAAATGGGCTTGTTTGTTACTATCGAAATTATATATATTCCAAAAAATTGAGCCTTAGTCTAGGTTTCGTCATGTCAGCCTGGAAAGTAGTTGGGTCGCTACTCGGTCTTATCAGCCAATGTATTTTGTTGAAAATGATATCACTGGCGTTGTCAACCTGTAGAGTCATGGACAATAGTTCTTGATGTTGATCACTGGAATACCTGGTCCAGACTCGACTATTTACAGACCGCCGGCAAAAAGCTGGAATATTGCTGAGTGCAGCGTTAAGCAACAGATAAGCAAACAATTTGCAGATTGTCTTCCTTTATACCATATGAAATGGCCAATTATTGAAGCTTGTTGCCATTTTTATATCTTGAAAGGACATTTGGCAAGACTTGAAAGACTGAGTGAGGGGTATGTATCTGTTGACCGCAACGGCTGTAGTCAAGCGACATAATGAAATTAGAACAATTACAATGCACCAATACATCACTAGTTACAGAGAGGTACAGGACGTTTAATCATCTTCCGACTTCACCTTGGCAAAATTACATTGAAAGGATGCATTTTGACTTTCTCACTTTTTTATGTCACCCCTGACTCGAAATGCTTCCCAGTACAATGGATCCTGAGGGCATGCATATTCACTGTACAATGCACCCTGAGGGCATGCATATTCACAGTACAATGCATCCTGAGGGCATGCATATTCACAGTACAATGCATCCTGAGGGCATGCATATTCACAGTACAATGCACCCTGAGGGCATGCATTTTAACAGTACACTGACCCTGACGGCATGTATACTCACAGTACAATGCACCCTGAGGGCATGCATATTCCCAGTACAATGCACCCTGAGGGCATGCATTTTCGCAGTACAATGCACCCTGACGTCATGCATATTCACAGTACAATGCACCCTGAGGGCATGCACATTCACAGTACAATGCATCCTGAGGGCATGCATATTCACAGTACAATGCACCCTGAGGTCATGCATATTCACAGTACCATTCACCCTGAGGACATGCATATTCACAGTACAATGGATCCTGAGGGCATGCATATTCACAGTACAATGCACCCTGAGGGCATGCATATTCACAGTACCATTCACCCTGAGGACATGCATATTCACAGTACAATGGATCCTGAGGGCATGCATATTCACAGTACAATGCACCCTGAGGTCATGCATATTCACAGTACCATTCACCCTGAGGACATGCATATTCACAGTACAATGGATCCTGAGGGCATGCATATTCACAGTACAATGCATCCTCAGGGCATGCATATTCACAGTACAATGCACCCTGAGGGCATGCATATTCACAGTACACTACATCATGATGTACTGTACTGTGAAGCATTTCGATGCGGTGGTGATCCTGGGTGTAGCTACCATTATTAAAAATGCCCGGGTTTACACATGCTTGTTGCTAAAATGCTAAAAAAGTTGGGCAAGCACTCCGTTCTATCAAAATATATAGCTTTGCAACCTATCGGGCTTACACGAAAAAATCTACGCGCCTGGTGGTATAAACAAGTTAATCTTTAATTCTCGCAAAGACACAAGGGTCTGTGATTTCTGTCAAAATTATTCCTAATGGAGTTGCCTCCCTTAGACCGTCCACCCATAGCACAGCCTCACCGTGAAACACCGAACACACCTGTTCATTGCCTAATAATAGTGAGACACACTACGGCGTCTGCGCAAAACAGTGACGTCACCGAAAGAGGCTGTTTCGATTCGATCCAGCTCTCTATATATAGTTCCTGGAACAGAGATCATTAACACTAGACTGAACACTCTATCCGCTTTTTGTGACAGTCGGGAACTTCGTTTAAAGGTATGATGAATAGATACATCTTCTTATCACATGTTACCTGCAACTTCACGACTCCTTGTAATATTTCCGGGTTAAAACATGGCTGCGCAGTTGCAGTTGTACATTGTTATATCACTATGTACTGATAAGATCGTGAAAACATCTAACAATTAACACGATGTGGCTTAGGTGTACACTTATATGCGAGTGATATACTCTTTCAATAACAAGAATAATGAACTGACAGCACACCATGTTTATGGCTTTCGATTTGTGCTACCGCTGTTTATTCAAGCTACAATAAGAAAACAGGTGTTTCCCCTCGTTTCATATCTGTCAACCAAGTGTGGAGACATGTTGGTCCCTGTAACATTCAGACTATTTCGGTGTCGTCTTTTCTTGTGAAACGTATATCAGCGTACGTACACAGGACTGATCTTCATATAACTAATATAAGTGTCGTAACTGGCGTTGGGGCGTTAGTAAACCCTACCACATTTACCTACTATTTGTGGCCGTTCCCATTGTTAGGGGGAGATAGTAGCTCTGGCGCTCCACTCGCTTGGTCCGTTGCAGGATGCTAAGTCTCGGAGTGAGGGGTTGGACGACCGTGACTCCTAACTAACCACATGGCATTCATGTACTGGCACACATACATTCAAAGATAAACGCAACACCACGTTATACTCATATAGTTTACTCTGTCTCAGTCCATCTCTCTAACTACAACTTCATCAATAGACAGGGTAGGCTCGTACCACACGGGACACCTGAGTGGTGGGGACTGGCTTCCGTCACTTAAAAGTAGGGCTGTGCAATATTACCGGTAAACCGGTACATACCGATACAGTATCTCGCGATACGATTATCGCGATATCGTTCAGACTCTGCAATAAATTGGGTCATCCAGAGTTAGCCCCCTTTGAATTATATGCCCTTGACTTCCATGGCAACAATATATATACAAGTGCCAAATATACTTTTATTTCTTTTCGTTTCTTGTAACATTTTACAAGTGGAAGAATCAGTTATATTCTTTATAAGTAGCTCCAAAAGAGCCAAATATTCTACCAAGTTTTTTGGGTTTGAATGGTTTCATATGTGACAGTTTGGAGGAATGAAGTGGTCTCAGATGGGCCAATGTTTTATTTGGCCTTATTAGTAGAGCCTCTGGCTCTGAGGGACCATTTCACAATTCAAAAACTCTCTAAATACAACTTTATATTTTATTATTTTTGTTTGTTTCATAATGGGACGAATGTTATCAATTTATCATAAAGGCTTAAGTCTTATAAATTTTGTAGGACTGTATAATGACATTCTAGTCAAGGATCTCAGCATTGGAGGTTACATGAGTTTTTAAGCTCAAGTAGTTCACCTAAATCATGTTTTTGTTTCATTTTGCAGTAGTTCATGTTAACACATGCATATATTGAGGGGCGATCAAAAAGTAGTAGAATCACCAAGAAAAAGATACAAATGCAGTTATGTTTTATGTTTTATTTTTCTACATATTATCTGTCAAACTCAGGCAGTTTGGTTTTGCTATGTTCCAGTCTCACGATCCCCATTTTGTTTGACCTTTTCTCTTGGTACCCTAAAAAACACAAAGTCTACAATTAATGAATCAAAAACTTCAGGAAATATGCAAGAAATATTTTGTGTGTTTGAGATTGATAGAAGTCCCCTAGAATCACACTTAAATATCAAAGTTCATAAAAAAGCAATTTGAAATTACAACCGCTTGTTAAAGTGACTCCCACTTTCATGTTGACTGAAAGAGCTTGTTTTGGAGCATAGCTTATTCTACTGTTTTCACTTATGCATACATGATGCCAAGGGTTCAAACTGAATGGTCACACAAGTGTCAGCTCACAATATATTGTAAACTGTGCCAGCTTGAATATCTGGACACAATGTTATTGAAAGATTAAAATGGGAGTGTCCTTAAAAAAATAGCCCCTGACTACTATACTGTACTGAACATATTTTATATGACATTATCTGAGGGCATACCATTCTCCAATAGGTACCAAAAGACAAATCGTTTTTCATTTTCTGCAATTGTTAGAAATAGTATACCCCAATGTGTTGTGATGAAAAATATCTGGTTAACCACTTTACCCACACATGTGAAAGTTTGGATATGGCTTTGCTAACGATTCCTTCAAAATGAAATGGAAGCTTTTCAAACATTAGACATCGAGAATATCGTTAGGCTACGTACTTTTTGATCGACCCTCGTCCTTTAACAATAAGTACATCCTGCATTGAAGTGCACTCCGTTGAAGAAAACAACACTGCCTTCGGCTAAAAAGCATTCGAATATCTGTCTGCCTACCGTGCCTATCCGTTATGACTCATGAGCAAAACTGCAAATCTGAAAAACGGAATCTGATGTAATTCTCTCATGGTTAGAATGTGCCTTCAGTAACCCATGCTTGTCGAAAGAGGCGACTAACGGGATCGGGTGGTCAGGCTCGCTGACTTGGTTGGCATATGTCATCGGTTCCCAATTGCGCAGATCGATGATCATGCTGTTGATCACTGGATTGTCTGGTCCAGACTCGATTATTTACAGACCGCTGCCATATAGGTGGAATATTGCTGAGTGTGGCGTAAAGTTAAACTCACTCACTCACTCTCATGGTTTAGGGATGCAGTTTTACCTTATAACAATATCATTACCATGGATATTTGTTTGAAATGAGAGGCTTTCTCTTTCGGAATGTTATTATATTTTCTGCTTTTGTGACATGATTACGAGGACAGTTATGGTGAAAATTGGAGCCGGTTTACTTATTTTAAAACTTGTGATATGTATGGTTGCAGCATGGACGAAGACGGGGCAGAGGATGGGAACTCAAGTCAAAGTATGTGTTTTTCGTCACGATAAATACAACTATCACCATATCCCGACTAATTCCCCTTATATTTCATTAAATGAAACAATAATTAGTACATACAACAAACACGCCAATATGACTCATATTCACGCGTAAAGACGAGTAAATGCAGCCCACACGTTGCTGATGCATATTTGACATCGTCAACTTTATATTTTTAATTCTTTTCTCCTTGGCCGAACACCAATGTCGGGCATTGCGAACACTTTTGTCGGGCTATTCCGAAAACTCTTGTCGGGCTATTCCGAACGCTCTTGTGGGGCTATTCTGAACTCTCTTGTCGGGCTATTCCTAAACTCTCTTATTCTGAATACTCTTGTTGGGCTGTTCTTTACAATTTTGCGGTGTGCTTTTCAAGTGTAGCCGTGGCCTAAGTGTCAATACTTCGCCGGATTGTCGTCGTATTTGTCTACGTGTTAGGGAAGTTTATAAACTCTTTCCTCATTCTTGTTACTGCAGTTTGTGTAATAATGTCCGCGGTACCTCGCGGTTTCCAAGGCGTTCCGACTAGCACCTTTTCCTGGCAGGTAGATCAGATCGGTATCCCGTGCCTGGGATGGTGTGTCGATTACCTGGACTACGGTATATCCCTGTACTTCGGTCCTGACGATATCATCCTTGTTTCGGCCGATTAAGGCCGCTTGACGTCTGACCGCCTGTAAAAAGTCAGCGAATGGTTCAGACGGTTTTTGTTTCCTATCTATGAGGTCATTAGCCCTTTTTAACATAACAATGGAATTTGGGGCATAACGCTGCAAGAAGGTTTTCTTTAAGGTTGGCCAGGAACACTGATCCTTAGCCAAGGTCCCGTAAAACCAGTGTGACGCCTGTGAGGACAGATATAATGGGAAGAGTTCTTTCTTTTCCTCATCTGTATAGCCATGTACCTTAGAATAACGTTCAAATCTTTTTAACCAACCCTCTGCGGCGAGGGGGTCCTTACCATCAAAATGGCTCATTGGCACTGCAGATAATGAGACGGCTCTGGTGAATGAATGAGCCGGGTTCACTGACGGGACGGACTGTGCATTGGTGCCATTGGGCGTGGCCACACTGGATTGATACGTGGGTGGGGCGGGGCAGCCTTGAACTACTGCTGCTGTATGAGTGACCGGTGTACTGAAGATATCAGTGTGTAATAATTGGGGGCCTGTCATTGGAGAAGAGAACGGTGACCATTCAACTGGAAGTGGGGGGCAACTAGTACTCTGGTTACTGGATGTTGTGGTTGTAACGCTGGCGGACATGATTGGCGTGGTATCAACCATAGTAGAAGGGCTCTCTTGGTCAGACGGGACGGTCTTACTACTTGGGAGTGGGGAAGCAAATAATGCAGACCAGCTGGAGGATGTAGCTACAGGGGATAAACATTGCTGATTGACAGGGCGTAAAGAGATTGGATTCCCGCTACTGCTGGGTGTCAGAGGCATGATTATCTCAAGGATCTCGCTCTTTTACAAAGTGTTTACCATAAATAATAATAGAATTGGCTTACCTAAAGCAGATCCGACCCTGTGGAATGTGCACTATAAGTTAGTCTAAATGTCACACACCACTGTCTGTCACTTTCCTATCGGATCACTGTCACATAAGAGTTCAGCCTGTTGTTTCCCTGGTGGCTCACTGTTCTGTACGGACCGTCCCACCTATGGTTCCGTCGATCTGGTGTTGTCCTCCTGCCTGCCTTCTCTGTACCTGCAACCCTCTCTCTCTCGATCAGCTGGCGTTGGTGGCGTAGCCCTTCCTCGGCCGGTCTCAAAGTCGTCGTTTGCACTCAACCTCACTAGTGCAATGTTTTGCTCGTGCAACCGCTGCACGTTTTCAGCCTCGCTTCGTAAATAAGCAGCCCAGCTTTACTCTACTTATTGTAAATTGCCGTGTGCATGCACCCGCTGCACTGCACTTTCAACCTCTCAAATTATCAAGCAGCCAAACGTCGCTCTGCTTATTGCCAATGGCCTTGCGTGCATCGGCTGCACTTTCAACCTCTCAAATTATTAAGCAGCCAAACGTCGCTCTGCTTATTTCAATTTGCCGTGCGTACCTTCGCTGCACTGTACTTTCAGCCTCTCAATATTTTAAGTAGCCCAGCTTTATTCTACTTATTACAAATTGCCGTGCGTGCCCCCGCTACACTGCACTTTCAGCCTCTCGATATTTTAAGCAGCCAAACGTCTCACTGCTTATTACAATTTTGCCGTGCATGCATCCGCTGTACTGCACTTTCAACCTCTCAATATTTTAAGCAGCCAAACGTCGCTCTGCTTATTACATTGCCGCGCCATCGGCTGCAGACTTTCAACCCGCAAACTGCACAGCACTTCCAACCTCTCAACCATTATTAAGCATCGCTCTGCTTATTGCAAATTTGCCGTGCATGCATCCGCTGTACTGCACTTTCAACCTCTCGATATTTTAAGCAGCCAAACGTCGCTCTGCTTAATTCAATCGCAATTTTCCGTGCGTGCAACCGCTGCACAGCACTTTCAGCCTCTCAACCAATCGCTACAGGGAACTTACCCCGCGTCTCCAGCCACCTTTCCAAGGCGTTCCGACTAGCACCTTTACCTGGCAGGTAGATGGTATTTTACCTGTCGGTATCCCGTACCTGGGATGGTGTGTCGATTACCTGGGACTACGGTATACCCCCGTACTTCGGTCCTGACGATAAGGGATGTGCGAGAGGTACAGTGTCAGTACCCGGGGGCCCTTGGGAACTTTACCGTAGTCCATCCAGCAAACACAAGACGATGATCTTCGTTCAATAGTTTTTATTGACACTGTGTTGCTGGTCAACCTACTCTATGGTCACTCTATAAGACTTCAGCCGCAAAGCTTCAGTCTTAAGCCAAAATGCTGGTGCTTCAAGATAATTTCTCAAACGGTTCCTAGTGACCAACAGCAAGAGCAGGCCCGCACCAGACTCCCGTTTCTGAGCTTTGCTCCCGCTTAAACCTGGGTTCCTACGTCACAGCCAACACCCTTTTCATTTTTTCTATTGGTCAATAACCCATAATTTGACTATCTATTACTCTCCCCCACCTCTATTTCGTACCCCCACTACCATATTTGTACGACCGTGAGGTGGATTCCAGGAATCTCAGGGTCTCTCTCTCCTAACCATATATGGCTCGTAGAGTACCAGGAACTGGTGGCCAGGTCCCCGGCCAGGTCCCCGGCCACGTCGCTCCATCTTGATAGTATAGTAGCTTTTTCCTCTATCTAAGCCATGAGTCACTCCCCCCTGCACTCACCAGCTCCAGCGACCTACTTTCATGTTCATTACCTACGTTACTGACTTTCTACCTTACCTCCCACCTTACAACGTTACCAATCACTTCATATCTTAAATATTTTATTAAAACTCTCACAATTTGTATCTTCTGCCCCCTTAATCCCCTGTCATTAATAATGTTAATTGTATATCTCTTATTGTAATAAAGACCATAATCTCATGCCTATAATATACACTGTTATGAGGCAGTGTTTATACACTGTGCAGTGTTTCAACTGTTATACATTGTTATGAGGCAGTGTTTATACACTGTGCAGTGGTTCAACTGCTATACATTGTGCTTGTGGGTTCAGTGAGTTCCGGTGGCGTGCTATATTTAGACTTGCACTATATCCCGATCCAGAGGCTGACCCACAGAATAGTATAGAATGTTTAGGGAGGCTGTCTATTGTTCATCCTCTATCATTACATCTGAAGTTAGAAGGAGATGAGCATTGTGTGAGGTGTCCATATACCCTGCCTAGGCATACAGTTTACTGTTACTGAGAGATGAATATCATTATGTTTTCACTCAACTTACAAAGTTGTTTGTTTAGTGCAACCCACAGAAACTAAGTTGTCTCTCGCCTGTCGGTTCAACACATGATACAGGAGCCGCATGGCTGGTCACACAGGTAGAACGCCCAGATCATGCCTCTGGGTAGAGTAGACAATCACAATATGACACACCTCCCATGACATACACAACATGAGACACATCACATGACATACACAACATGAGACACCACACATGACATACATAACATGAGACCCCACACATGACATACACAACATGAGACACCACACATGACATACACAACATGAGACACAACATATAACATACACCACACATGACATCCACAACATGAGACACATCACATGACATACACAACCTGAGACACCACACATGACATACACAACATGAGACACCACACATGACATACACAACATGACACACCATACATGACATACACAACATGAGACTCCATACATGACATACACAGCAGGAGACACTACACATGATATGCACAACATGAGACACCACACTGACATACACAACATGAGACTCCATACATGACATACACAGCAGGAGACACATCACATGACATACACAACATAAGACAGCACACATGACATACACAACATGAGACACCGCACATAACATACACAGCAGGAGACACCATAAACGACACACCCAACATGAGACAACACACATGACATACCACAACATGAGACACCACACATGACACACACAACATGAGACACCACACATAACATACACAACATGAGACACATCACATGGCACACAACATAACACACCACACATGACATACACAACATTAGACTCTACACATGACATACCACAACTTCAGACACTACACATGATGTATACAACATGAGACACCACACATGATATGCACAACATGAGACACCACACTGCCATACACAACATGAGACACCAAACATGACATACACAACATGAGACACCACACATGACATACACAGCAGGAGACACATCACATTACATGAACAAAACATGACACATCACATGACATACAGAACATGAGTCAACACACAAGACATATACAACATGAGACACCACGCATGACATACCCAGCATAAGACACATCACATGATATACACAAGATAAGACACCAACACATGACATACACAACATAAGACACCACACATGACATACACATCAGACTCCACAGATGACATACACAGCATAAGACACATCACATGACATACACAACATGAGACACCACACATGACATACACAACAGGAAACACCACACATGACATACACACCATGAGACACCACACGTGACATACACAACATGAGACACATCACATGACCTACACAACATGAGACACATCACATGACATACGCATGAGACACCAAACATGATGTATACAACATGAGACACCACCCATGACATACACAGCAAAAGACACATCACATGACATACACAACATGAGACACCACACATGACATACACAGCATCAGACACATCACATGACATACACAAAGTCAGACACCACACATGACTCTCGCAACATGAGACACATCACATGACATTGACATGAGACACCACATATGATGTATACAACACGAGACACCACCCATGACATACACAGCATAAGACACATCACATGACACACGCAACATAAAACACATCACATGATATACACAACATAAGACACCACACATAACAAACACAACATAAGATACTACACATGACATACACAACATGAGACACCACACATGATATACACAACATGACACACCACACATGACATACACAACAGGAAACACCACACATGACATACACAACATAAGATGCCGCACATGACATATACAACATGAGACACCACACATGACATATACAACAGGAAGCACCACACATGACATATACATCATGAGACACCACACATGACATATACAACATGAGACACCACACATGACATACAATAACATGAGACAGTTAATAAGTGACATACACAACATGAGACACCACATGACACACACAGCATGAGACACATCACATGACATACACATGAGACACCACAGATGCCATACACAACATGAAACACCACACATGACATACACAGCATGAGACACCACAGATGACATACGCAAAATGAGACATAACACGTGACATACACAAAATGAGACACCGCACATGACATCCACAACATGAGACACCATACATGACATACCACAACAAGAGACACCACACTTGACATACACAGCATGAGACACCACACATGACATACACAACATGAGACACCACACATGACATACACAACATAAAACACCACACATGACATATACAACATAAGACACCACATATGACATACACATGAGGCACCACACATGACATACACAGCATGAGACCCCACACATGACATACACAACATGAGACATCACACATGACATACACAACGTGAGACACCACACATGACATACACAACATGAGACACCACACATGACATACACAGCATGAGACACATCACATGACATACACAACATGAGACACCATACATGACATACCACAACAAGAGACACCACACTTGACATACACAGCATGAGACACCACACTTGACATACACAACATGAGACACCACACATGACATACACAACATAAAACATCACACATGACATATACAACATAAGACACCACACATGACATACACATGAGGCACCACACATGACATACACAGCATAAGACACCACACATGACATACACAACATAAGACACCACACATGACATACACAACATGAGACACCACACGTGATATACACAACATGAGACACCACACATGACATACACAACGTGAGACACAACACATGACATACACAACATGAAACACCACATATGACATACACAACATGGGACACATCACTTGACATGCAGCATGAGACACCGCACATGACATACACAGCATGAGACACCACACATTACACACAACATGAGAAACCGCACATGACATACACAGCATAAGACACCATACATGACATACACAACATGAGACACCACACATGACATACACAACATGAGACACCACACATGACATACACAACATGAGATACCACACATGACATACCGCATCATGAGATACCACACGTGACACACACAACATGAGACAGCACACATGACATACACAACATGAGACACCAAAAAATGACATACACAACATGAGACACCATACATGACATACACATCATGAGACACCATACATTACACACACAACATGAGACACGACACATGACCTACACAACATGAGACACCACATAATGCCACTTGTGCACAATTAAGCACACGATCCGACACCACTATGCCGACCACACCACCCCACAATAACCACTCCACACCTCACCATCCGACACCACACTGCCGACCACACCACATCACAATAACCACTCAACACCTCACCATCCGACACCACACTGCCGACCACACCAGACCACACCACAATAACCACTCCACACCTCACCATCCGACACTACACTGTCGACCACACCACATCACAATAACAACTCCACACCTCACCATCCGACACTACACTGTCGACCACTGCACACCACAATAACAACTCCACACCTCACCATCCGACACTACACTGTCGACCACACCACATCACAATAACAACTCCACACCTCACCATCCGACACTACACTGTCGACCACTGCACACCACAATAACCACTCCACACCTCACAATCCGACACCACACTGCCGACCACACCACATCACAATAACCAATCCACACTTCACCATCCGACACCACACTGCCGACCACACCACACCACACCACACCACACCACAATCACCACTCCACACCTCACCATCCGACACTACACTGTCGACCACCGCACACCACAATAACCACTCCACACCTCACCATCCGGCACCACACTGCCGAACACACCACACCACACCACACCACAATCACCACTCCACACCTCACCATCCGACACCACACTGCCGACCACATCACATCACAATAACCACCCCACACCTCACAATCCGACACCACATTGCCGACCACACCACATCACAATAACCACACCACACCTCACCATCCGACACCACTCTGCCGACCACAGCACATCACAATAACCACTCCACACCTCACCATCCGATACCACACTGCCGACCACACCACACGAGTTCACACCACGCCACACCAGACTGCAAAAAACATCAAACGCACACCAGCCACGACACGCCACGACACATAAAACAGCAAACGGACATCACACACCGCACCGCAAATAAGGCCACAGACCGCACCAGACAAAACAGCAAACACAAACCATACCACACACACAGCAGTGTGTAATTGTCCCCATAATGCCATAAACATTGTTTGTCATTACGTTACACTCCTGATAAAAATCTTTCATGTTTCAGGGTCGAACGTCAATACTACCGCGGTAAAGGACGGACAGGCCGGGACAGCGATAGCATTTGGCAATGCTAAAATTGAAAACCTTTCAAGTATTGATGTTATTGCTTTCATGTGTTAAATCAACCTTCAGTATTCATTAAATGACTAATTATCCCCCGCAACGAGTTTTGCGGGGGGTATGAAAATGGACTCCGTCCGTGCCTGCGTCCGTCCGTGCACATTTGTCTTTTCCGGAGCAGAATTCTAAAACCGTTCAATATTTCTTCACCAAACTTGGCACATACATGGATCTGGTGGTGTACCGGTGCCTTTTGGTAGTTTTGGAATTCTGAATTAAATATTTTTGGCGTTTTCATGGCAACAAGTTTGACTTTGCCTGAAATTGTGGTAGTGCTCTTTTCCGGGGCAGATCTCTAAAACTGTTCACTATTTCTTCACCAAACTTGGCACATAGATTGGTCTGGTGGTGTACTGGTGCCTTTTGGTAGTTTTGGAATTCGGAATAAAATATTTTTGGCATTTCCATGGTAACAAGTTTGACTTTGCCTGAAATTGGTGATAGTGCTGCTTTCTGGAGCAGAACTTTAAAAACCTTTCTATACTCTCCTTCCACTTTTCTATATACACACCTAAATATTTGACATAATCATAACTTGTAGACATAATCATGAAGCGTATTTTGCCATTGTGGGGGATGTTGATGACTTTGACTTCTTGTTATATTCACTGACTGACTGACTGAGTTTAGTTTTACGCCGCTTTTAGCAATATTCCACTAATATCACGGCGGGGGACACCATAAATGGGCTTAACACATTGTGCCCATGTGGGGAATCGAACCCGGGTCTTCGGCGTGACGGGTCAACGAGATCAATTTAGTGTGTTGGTTTGGATGCCTGTTCAACGCCGCACACTGCAGTATTTAAGCTATACGACAGTGGTCTGCAAATAATCGAATCTTAAACAGACAACCCTGTGATTGCTAACATGAGCACTGATCTACTATAAGGGATATGATGTCATGTATCAATCTGCCTAGCGAGTCTGACACCCGGTACAGTTACCGGCCTCCTGCGAGAAGCCGATCTTCATGGGTTTGTCACTTGTAGTGATACAAGTATAGTGTGTCTACCTTCTTGGTTATATCCACAAGCACAGTGATGATGACATGCTATGAAACATAATCACGGCAGGTCTCTATTTGGGCCCTACAGTCATAGCTTCCTGACATGCCTAAGGGGCACAACTCTGTATAGCGAAACGTACCACCTTAAACCACAGGGCAATCCGTGCCACAAACAGTAACAGTTATTTATTAACGGAGAAATGAAGCAACCAAACCCTTCCACTTGAATCAGATATTTCTCTTAAAAGCAGAGTCTTTGCAGGAAGTACACTTCATATGGTTCTTTTTACAAATAGTTATCTTGAAAATAGGTGCTCGTGAAAAGGTGAGCGTATCCTGTCTACCGGTGGCACCTGTCATAAACGCATGTACACGCAAGCCTGAAAAGTGCAAGGGAAGATAGAGCCAATGTCGGGAATTGTATCAGACGTGGAACTGATGCGTCAAAGGAGACGTACTTTTACCCGTTCTCAAAGCTTGACGTACTCGTACCTTCAAGCAAATAATATTAGAGTGAGTGAATTTAGTTTTACGCTGCTTTTAGCAATATTCCAGCAATATCACGGTAGGGGACACCAGAAATGGGCTTCACACATTGTGCTCAAGTGGGGAATCGAACCCGTGCCTTCGGCGTAACGAGCGAATACTTTAACCACTAGACTACCCCACCGCCCACAAATCATATTAGAACCAATAATAGAAGTGAAGACTTCATATGTTATATCAATATTAACGTGGAATGCAAATTAAAATAGTTGCATTTTGTTTTTAGTTCAAACTGCTCTACAAGGATCAGTCGTATCTGGACACTCCAGACAAGTGCCAGAGAATCCAGAAAGAGGTAAATCTTATACCGCATCACCACTATCTACGCCATATCACAATTCACCACATCTCTCTCCACACCATAGCACAGCACCCCTCAACACACCTCTCTCCATATCAAACCACATCTTGCCATATCTCTCTCCACACCACACATCACCTCTCTCAACACCTCACATCTCATCACATCAGCTCACATCATCTCACCTCCACAGAACATTACATCACACCTCACCTCAGCATACCACTCACATATAACTCGCATATCATCTAATCTCATCACACCACACCACACCACACCTCAGCATACCGCACCTCAGCATACCACGCCTCAGCATACCACACCTCAGCATACCATACAAATATATCACCGCAACATGCAACACCTCGCCTCACCTTACCTCACCTAACCTCCACACCACATCTCACCTCAGCATGCCATACACATATACCACCACAACACCTCACCTCATATTTGAAAGCTATGGCTCCGTATATATCTCTGATGGAACATACTAGAACATGCTGGTTTACGCTGGATTATTTCGGTTGATCAAAAGTCTAAAGAAAGCCATTTGAGTCTAAATCTACTGAACAAAATAAGAAACTTCACACTTGGAGAAATCAAATATTGAAATATACTACCCATCGAAAGTTTAGACTCACTAGTGTAAATGTAGTCAGTCAACTGTTCTAAACTAGCATTTGCAAACTATGCCATACTATTTAAAGGTACTGTTTACACATGAACTGATGTATTATAAAACAAATTCGTAATGTTGAACATATTATTGTCATGAGTTCAATAGATGATGAAACTCAGTGAAAATTGGAGAATTCTTAACAAATTTACACCAAAACGCAGCTGTTCACATGCACGATATTTGCACATCGTTTTCAGCAATTTCATGCATGATCCTCGTGCAATTCATCTGCATAAGGATTGTAGTTGTGGAGAAATTCATCTTCGATGTGTATGTATACATCTTTACATATAGTGAGTTCTTCAAGTGAGTCTAAACTTTTGATGGGTAGTATGTAATTTATAACACACATCTCTGCTCTCTATTAGATCAGATCAGAGTCTTACAAATATGGACAGGACATAAGTATTTGGCTTCTGACATGTATCTGTTATTTGTCATGCGTTTATACCGTAAGGATACTGATATCATTTCATAAACATTGCTTGAAAATTGACTTATGACTGTAGAAAATGAATGAGCTGATTTTGCCTCATTGTTCGTATTACATGACGTCGTGTCTGTGTGCTACCGGAGAGGTGAAACCAGCAGGCAAGGCCGTGATGCAGAAACATCAAGTCTAAGGGACGCAACTCTGGTTTATTACAATTATCGAACATTTTTTGATACAGATGAATATACGAAGGCAGTCCAAGTCATTATAAAAGGGGACTGCCTGAGCACAATCACAATTCCGGAGACGATCCCAGGTAAATACAACTGACAAAATCCTTTTCTAAAATCTCTTCTAAAAGCAGAGTCCATTGTTCAATTTCGAAACTATCATGTGCCTACTTCAATGAAACCCATGTATGTAAGGGGTGAATATAACCCATTTAGCAAAAGCTATACATGGCGACAACCCAGGTCGTGGAAACATGCCCGTCTGGACTACTTTTTAATTTCCGTCAATAGGTTGCCCTCTATTATGAAAACGGAAATAGGTGAAACAAAACAGCAGTATGAAAATGAAGATAACATTCAACGTTTTGGGAAATAAGATTAATCTCCAGAGCATTCAAGGACTTCAGGGATCTTAACGGAGATACAAATAGTCACTAAATAAATAGAAGAAGAAATACATCTCAAATACAAACGCTAATTTTACACGAGAAAGCCCAATAGATAGTGTAAAGGGTAACGCAGAACGATATTTCATAAGTCTGGAATCAAGAAACCGTAAGCCCATGAACAGGTAGATGGCAAAACAACTGAATCACACCATGATATACTGAAAGACCTGATATTTAGCTTAAACGTTTAAAAGGGGTCGAGATAAAGCCCAAATTGTGAAGAGAGGTCAAAATATATTTGATACGTCAACTGGATGTATAAATGTCCTATTATAATAGTAACCTGCACAAGACACATTGATGATACACAAAACTTCAAAATACAATGTCAGAGTGTGGTATGTGATTTAGAGAATAACCAACTCGGTACGAGTGATTACGGGAACTATGCCCGCGTTGAAATAATGATCACAGTGCAGAGCCTTGGCGAGGCTCTGAACATCATTTTAACGATGGCATATTCCCGGAATCACTCGTACCGAGTTGGTTATTCTATTTGTTACCCATGATGAAATTAAAAAAAAAAACCCACTAAATAAGGACCACCAGGACTTGTGACCTCAAACAGCTGATTCGTATTCATACGCGTATTAAACCTAACTTCTCCAGCGGTAATAACATAACTACGCTGTAGAAAATATTCTCTCCCAAAAAAGAAACGCTTATAGGAATTTCAACTGTATTTTTATGTTTATTTTGAAACATCTTGTAGGCTTTATAAGTCAATGAAATATAGCGAAATTGCACACCGGGAATGCAGACTTATCCGTCTTTGGCACCAACTCGAGGAAAGTCAGTTTGAGTGTCACATGGAGACGTGTGGTGGCGCTGAAGTCAATACCTCGTGTGACCACCGTGGGCATCTAGAACTGCACGGCATCGCCTCGGCATCGAACGAATAAGTCTCAGAATCTCGTGTTGCCCAATCGCAGCCCACTCTGCCTGTAGTGCCTGTGCGAGTTGCTGAAGTGTCTGGGGCTGAGGGTTACTGCGTCGAACCCGTCTGTCCAGGGCATCCCACAGATGTTCGATCGCGTTTAAGTCTGGTGATCTTGAGGGCCAGGGGAGCACATTGATGTTGTGGTTCTGGAGGAAGTCTCTTGTGTGACGTGCTGTGTGGGGCCTGGCATTGTTCTGTTGAAACACCTCCCTCTGGCGATCAATGATTGGAAGGAGGTGTGGGCGTAGGATTTCGTCACATTACCGTTGAGCTGTCAGGTTTCCCTGGATCATCACCAAATCACTTCTTCTACGGCAGGTGATCTCTCCCAACATCATAACACTTCCCCTGCCGAATCTGTCCACCTGGGGAACGCAAACACCGGCGAAGCGTTCACGTCGACGTCTGTACACCCGCATTCTTCCATCGCGTCGTTCCAATAGAAATCGTGATTCATCACTGAACCAGATTCTACGCCAATTCGGTAGGTTCCAGGCCTGAACGTTGGTGCACCATTGAACTCGATGTCGACGATGTTGTTGTCGAGACACAGGGCCAAAATAAGTTCTTCTGGCACGTAAACCAGGCTCTCTCAACCTGTTCCTGACGGTCTGTGCAGAAAGCCTCCTCAATCCGGGTATTTGTCGAGTGGTACTGGTCGCCGTAGCTGTTCGATGACGCAGGTGATGTACCCGGATGTAGCGATGCTGCGCCGCAGTGGTCGCTCCAGGTCGCCCACTACGAGGGGCATCTGCTTCCGCATTCTGCCGGCGATATCTCTCCCAGAGCCGTGAAATGGTGCTTTGGTGAACATTCATGCGTCGGGCGACTGCACGTTGAGACTGGCCAGCTTCAAACAAACCAATGGCGATATGACGGTTGCCTTCACTTAGACGTGGCATTTTGCGTTGAATACAGTGAATAATCGACAGACAGCGATCAACCTTTGATACCCATCATTAAGACTATCTGATCCCCAACTTTCACGTGCATTGCATGTGAATTGTGTATTCTGTGACACTACACACCGAAATTGAAAATCATGCTGTTAAATACGGGTATTTTACGGATGGTGCGTTTTGTTGTGATGTTTAAAAACATAAACACCAAAGGACTCATAAACAAAGCAAAACCTTTTGTAAAATGAATCACATTTTAATTCATTGCAATTGCTATATTCATGATGCGTTTCTTTTTTGGGAGAGTATAGTACCTCGTACAATCGCTTTAAGTACCACAAAAATATTTTCATGGAATAAGTTATTAACATATGTTAATATGATTAAAATGATCTTTTAATTGCAGTCTTATTCAACTTAATAACAGCTAAAACGTTATTTCATCAAGTTAATACGCCGGAACATCGTTCATTCACGACTGACGTGTGTCTAGTGACGGGTGACGGTGTAGTATTGAAACACACTTTGGCAAAAACCTGTCATGGGAAAGTCAACGGTTAAAAGTTGGGAAATTTGAAAGACAACCATCGCAGAAAAATCTTCTGTCAAGAAACTCAACAGGTTTGAAGATTAAACAACATTTTGTTATGTGGAAGGCGTGTTACAGTTACGTCATCGGTCCCAGTAGAGTACAGCACTTGCAAGAAGGATAACTCTAGTTATCCGAGTAAATGGGAAGGATAAGCCTCTTTGGAGCAGGTTAAGATTTCGGATTGATTAGGAATGCATGGATCAAAAAGGTAATCTTGAAGAAGATCATCTAGCACTGATTCCGGTAAGAAAGCTGTTTTCTGGTTCGATGGCATTAGACGCCGTAGCAGACTCACTTGACACACTTTCAGGTAGCACCTTTAGTCGGTATCTTGCTGCTTCTATTTCCCCGAATTCAGTTTTAACAACAAACAGGTTGAAGGATCACCGTCAGCTTTAACTAGGTCATTGACCTTGATCGGGGTTAGCCTAATGGCGGCCATGTTTGCTTACAAACAATGCAAACGATAGTTTTTGTCGTTTCTTAATAGTTCAATATAGAACAAACTTTATGGATAACTTCTTTATATTCGTGAGTGCGACATTTCGATACAGATTCTTGTACCGTTGTCAAGCATAATGGAATATGAAAAAGGGGGAAGTGTATATATACTGGATGTAACAATGTAACAAAGAAAACGACATAATTAACATAACTGGCTAGGCAGAAAGCTGATGAAGCCAGAGAGTAGACAAAGGACAGGCGTCGAAGCCAATGATGTACAAATGATCATGAGATGTTTATACAGCAGAGTTTATACAGTAGATTGGGCTTGGTGGATGACTGCATCATAAGCGGATGGAATGAAGTATCCTTGGTCTCAGTTGATGGTGGGCTTTGGGCGTTTGATGTGGATGGCTTCGGTGAGCTTGCGTTTAGTGAAGTCTGTTTGTTTGTTAGAGAGAATGGTGATGTCAGACCACTCTATTTGATGATTGGGGCTTGCTTTGATGTGGTTGGAAATGGCTGATTTGCTGTCGGAATTGGTAACAGAGGTCTGATGTTCTTTGACTCGGGTGGATGGGTCGGGAAGTTTCGCCTATGTAGCTCTGCCCACAATCACAGTTTATTTTGTAGATGACACATTTTGGGTTGTTGTTCTTTACGGTGGCGGGTTTTCTTCCATTGGCGTGGGGAATGTTGTTAAGGTTGGAGGACGCGGAGAAGGTGGTATCTATGCCAGCTTGTTGTTTTAGGAGGCGGCTGATTTGATGTGACGGTTTGCCAATATAGGGGATGGATATCTTGATGGGGGCTGAATCTGGTTTGGGTCTTTTGGTAGGACGTGACAGGGTTGCAGCGATGATTCTGTTGACTATTTGGGATGGAAAGTGGTTACGTTCTACGAAGACTTTCTTGAGGTGTTCGATTTCATCTTGTAGTTTAGTTGAGCAGATGTTCTTGGCCCTTCTGGTTAGTGTGGAGATGATGCCGGTCTTAACGTCAGTCATAAAGAAGTTGTTATCCATAAAGTTTGTTCTATATTCTACTTCCCAACTTCTAAAATGCCACTCAAAGAAGTTTCTTAATAGTTATTTACATTTATTTTAATTTATTTTTATTGCAAAAGAAATATGTCTAAAAAGAGTATTCATATTCTTTAATATTTATGTTTTCTTGTTTAAATCTTGGAATGTGTGAGTTCAACACGTTCTAATTATCACTGAAACGGTAAAAGTTATCAAGAAAAGTAGTTCCGTCAACCAATCATAATTCTTCTCTGCTTAGCTGACCAATCAACGTTGAGAATCACTGAAAACCACATTTGCGATTATCACAAAAATAATCACCTGTGTATCCTAGCCTGTATAGGTAATAATCCCTTTTTAACGCTTCCATTTCTGGACCCTATAATGCTTTCAAAATTATTTGCAAGATGTTAAGATTGCAAATGATTACCGAGAAGAGTTTTGTCCATTATAAGGATTTACAAAGGGGCGGTGGAAATTCACACATAAAAATCCATCTGGAATATATAAATAAAAAGGGTACCTTTGTACAAAATATATGGTAGTCTAGTTACTAAGTTCATGTTTTATGACTCATAAAACTATTTTGCACATAACGCAACCATTCCTGTCATTCGAAATTTTCAAAACAGTTAAAACCAACTTTTAACCTACACAGGTGTTCTTCACGCAATTAAACAGCAGTCATTAAAACTGTTAGTCAACAGTCATGAAAATTTGACTTATCCTTCAGCCTCCAGTTTTACCATTTCATGCATATCATGTAAATAAATATAATAAATTAATAATAAATATTTGAAACGTGGCAAGGTAATTAATGATGCATCCGTCAAGTTATAAGAGGTGGAGTTTTTCAGCATCTTGTGGAAGATCAGGCCAACACCCATCATGGAATGCAAGTTTAAGACAAGGGCCTAGATTTTCGAAGCTCTCGTAGCGCTAAGATAGTCGTATATGCCATACATCAACATTACTTTACGACTATCTTAGTGCTAAGAGAGCTTTGAAAATCTAGGCCAAGATCCAGAAATGCTCAAACTTCAGGCCGAGTATAAACGTTGCTCAAATAAAAACTGGAGCTCAGACCTAAATGCTCGAAACAAAAGCACCAATACTTTTGCTGTGCCAGTCCTTTCCTATTCCATTGGAGTAGTTGATTGGACTTAACAAGATATCCAAAGTCTTCACCATCTGACCAGAAGGATAATGTCTGAGCCCACCACCCTCGGTCCTCTCTTATTCGTGATATGCCAACCAATTCTGGAGATTGGGGTTTGAATCACGTGGAGCCTCTTCATGACAGAATGTTATTGTGTACTTCACAGATGTATTTATCGGATGGTTACTCTGGTGATGCATGTCAAGACTCATGATGAAAGCAAGAACTTCCACAACTATTTTAAGCGTGTCATGGTTGTTGGATAGAATCTGAAATTTGAGGTTGATTTTATTGATGGCGATGTCTACCATCACTAGACGGTACAGTGATGGGAGCCGGTCAATTGTTGAGAAGATTTACGAGGAATCACTGCATTGTGTGTACATGCAGTGTGCGGAACAGAACAGTAATCTTCTCTTTCATCTGGAAGAAGTCGGCTGGTCTCAATGTGAAACTGAGGGCTCTCCTTTTGGTACTCAAGACCAGTCACTTCCTACTCGCAATCGCCAAAATGTTCTGCTTCTACCACGGTCTTCGCCATGCCTGTGGCTTTGACACCGAGGTCCTTCCATGGTACGACCCTGAACATGTCCAGGGTGTCATGGAAAATGGTGGTTTCAAACTTCTTTGGAATAGGCCCATGTACAGACGAAGAAAAAAAATCAGCTAATATACCTGATCTTGTCCTTTTTGATAAAGCCAATGCTGTGCTCCACCGGGAGCACAGCCCATCTGAAAGTCTGGGTAATCCTGAAGGCTGCAGTTTTGGGGAGCCAACATATTCTCTGGAAAGTTCTTGGTGGGTTCGACTAGGCAGCGCTTTCTAGGAGAAGCCCCATTCGCTGTCTGGATAGCTGTACGGGTTCAAGTACCAGATGTTACATCTGTTGTTGGCCGCAAACTTGTGTGGTACTCGATTCTGATTGGCTGAGAGCTCATAAAAACCGTACTTAAATGACATTTTATTGACCGCTAATTAAAGTGACCGATTCACCACGTATGAATGCAACGAACTCGTTGACCCTATTGTTTGTAAACAAACATGTCGGACATCGGCAAGATCTATCTCGGCAGCATCTTTGGTGTTTTCGAAGTAAAAACCAAATGGTTTGAAGAAGAATTTCTTGACCCTAATCCCAGTGAAGAAACTACGAAGCTGGAAAATCCGTCAGCAGCGCAAAAGCGGCAGTATATTCAAAGCGGGTCCAGATCTACGTGTGTTGACGTCGACAACACACGTCGGCCCACACGTCCTAAACTGACCGCTTCCGTCCCGGCCGTAATGGTGAGTCCTTCCACTTCCACTGTCCATGTATCCCACATAAAACGTGGCATGCCTTTTCCAAATTGGGAATAGTAGGGTGGTTATCAACAATTATTTCTGTGAATAAAGTTAGCGGCGACTAAACTTAGCGAGTTCACGGCTTGCATTTGGGCGAGTCGATAGTCATACAGTAGGGGAGATGAATAAATCGCTTGAGAAAAATCAAATAATTGTACTTGCTCACAGTATTATTTATGTATGGTACTTGTTACAAATACCAATCATACTTGTTCCTGTAATAAAGCATTTATGTTGTTGAAAATGTCTTATTTGTCCCTGTCCCTCAACGGGATGATTCCAAGCGATAGCCAGGAAAAAGGCACCTTCACGCCTTGTGTTCTTGGGCGCCAAACAGTTCGGTTTTAAAACGCTTATCAGTCGTGCTAGAATGAAGATAAGCTACTCTGTTTTCAATTCTGCGGTACCTTTATCGTTGATTGACCGCTAAATGTTGAATTTAGCTTTATCTTCTAATTAAACTAAACATGTTGTGTATTTGATCAGGGAATGCAACAAACTCATCTACATCTGGCGACATACGGATTCTTGGACATTACATAATCTCCCTTAAACCTTATCATTATTATCCAACAAATAAGTTTCGCCAATGTCATAATAATAACAACAATTCTCCAACACTCCAATTTGTATAGAAGGAACTTGCTGATTTATATAAGCATACTTCCACCTATAATAATAATAGAGATTCTTGGTCATAAGTATTGTGTAATGTATTGTATCATATTCGTCTTAAACATTCCAGATGTCAAGAGTCGACAGAACAGATAAATGGTCTTGTATGTCCGTAAACCCAATGGTCTTATCAAATCATGGTTACAATGGTTATGATATATGGTAATGACTTATAATGTTACTGATGTGTGTAGTACCTATGACAAATGTCTTTATATATCAGTACACAATGGCAAGGTGTCGATACGTGGAAACTACGATGACCAGACTGTCAAGACGAAAGGTAAATTGTTTAATATCATTTTTTTCACATTTATTAATATGTCATTTTGATTATCATCTGCAATGGTTTTAATATTGAATGTGAAGATGTTTATTTACCATGTTAATTTCGTTCTTTTTTGTGTATAGTTCTCGCCAAAGTTAATCATATGTTTCTACATTTGTTTTTCATAAAAAAGTTACATGCGAACATGGAAAGATTGTGCGTCTTGAAGCGATCTGTGGGAAACAAGAAACTAAAAATGCCGCCTGTCGATCAAAGTGGAGGCTCTCTGACATTGAGATAGGTGCTTTGTCTAAGTTGATGGCATCTTGTTCTAAAGGACTGAGAGACATAACGCGCGCCTTCACAAACAAATAACGCGTGCTTTGGATGCATGCAGAAGAAGGAAGCTTAGTTTTGGAGTTCGGACATGGTACCAAAAAAAGATGCTGAGGAAATGGTCTCCAATAAGGTTGAAGTGACCCATCTGCTTAAGCATTTGCTTGGAAATTACAATATTCATGATGCATTCATTGTGGATAATGTTGAGGGCATGGAAGAATGTGATGATGTCACTGAATTGCCAAGTACTTCCACAGACCAAGGATGGAAAAGGCAAGGTCTTAGTTTTGTCTGTTTGTTTATCTGTTTTCCTCCACATTATTCCGGCATGTGGCAACAGTCTGGAACTGAGGAAGTGTGGCAAACCAATGACTGAAAGCATGAGCATTGTACAAAGCCCTCATGGCAAGATGACACACATTAGGCAGTGAGACTGAGTAACCCGATCCAGTGTTGCGTCCTCTTACCGAAAACAATAAAGTACCCTAGACATATTCTAATGCGAATCTCCACCGTTCATTGATATAAATACAGATCACAGTCTCTAGAGTAATAATGATAAAAGGCAATACTATGTGATTTGGAAGAATATGATTTATAGTGAACTTTTCTTTGTTGTCTGGATGTTTGAGGGTTTTGTCTTACAGGCTCAGGGGACATCATTATGCCACTTCACAAAGTGCCTCGAGGATATACTCAGTGTCATCTGGAAGAGCACATGCTCAGGCAGATCATCAAGTGCATATTGATTCAGTGTTGGGGAAACTGTAAGTATATAATCATTAATTATGAATTAGGGTTTGAAGCGTCAACCTTATCAGAAAGTCTTTGTACTAAAAAGCTTCTAGTGAAGTACAAAGGGCAAGACATATTGAGTAAAGTCATAACTTGTCATAAGATTGTAAGGTGACCCAACAACAGTTACTAATGTGTATTGCGGCTTCATGTTGTCATTGCCAATATATCCAATTACACAATATTCGCCTAAGGGCCGTTAATCCCAAGACTGTTGAGTGGGACGACCCTGCCCATTCCTCCAACACTTAACGCAACAACAGGTTTTGTATTAACATACGTTTACTTACATCACTCGATGTCTACTACACAAGACAGAACAGGCATGTCACAGAGTGGGAAAACGGTGTGAGGAGGATTTGCCCTCACCACTCTGCTAGTATTAAAAGCATCGTTCAAATTGTCGGATACTGATTCATCTTTATCACATGCCTTAATATATCAATTTGATTCTTGCACAGTTCAATCAGACTCAGAACACATGTTTGTCATGATCGGAAACGGCAACCCATGTGACCATGCCAGCATCTCTATTTTGATTTCTTTGTCATCTCTCTATTGGTTCTGTTTCTGTTGCCCTTGTTTTGCACCTAAACCAACCACCACGTATAAGCTGTCGCAAAGGTAATAATCATTTTAAAGGTCGATATTGCTACAATTATATATGGTTATGGGGATTGCAACATAAACTAAACTGATCCACAAAAAGTTCACTACCATTCCAGAAATTGCTTTGGGGTTATTTATGGAAAGAAACGCGTTTAAGTCACAAATATTGTGTATGTGCATGTGTTGTCCAAACAGACATCCCACCCAATAGAAACGGTGCCAGTGCCTTGAATCGGTTGCCAAACGAGTTCGATTCAGTCTCCGTTGCCGGGTAAACGAGATGCCAACAGCACTCAGTCGTCTCATGACTGTCTTTCTGCTGATGCACTGACTCAACACTGTTGGTGCTGATGACGTCACTGCGGGCTTCAGGCTAGCTATTCTCGAAACGTTCGTAGCCCTACGAACTTCTTAAGCCCATTCTTAACACATTGGCTACGATCAAAATTAAGAATTCTTATGGCTACGAACGTTTCGAGAATAAGGGCCCAGGTTGCGCATTGATAGTCATCTTTGCGGGGTCGCCATTTCTGGGACAGTTTGGCTGACGTGTTTCATAAGTATGGTGATGGTCTGCATGGTACAACCGAACGTACCACCATTATGGATCTTTGAAGCCCCCATCTGAGACATTCCGATGACTCGTCTTCCCTCTGTTAATGATAACCTTGGCATTCTAATTTAAAGGTCAAGTTGGTTTTGAGGTTTTGGGATGCCCTTTTGCCTCTTAACAGCAATTTGGCGTTTAACAGGCTAACACTAAAAGTCTCAACAAACATATCATGCACGTGTGATTGAACAGTTTCATGATTGTAAGCACAAAAATTGTAACTGATCTAATTTGTGTGTATTTCAGGTTATCAGATGAAAAGGTTCGTGGTGAGTTTGGGAAGGATATTACACATTCTTTACGAGACAACATCATCTCAGACAAGCACCCAGTCGAGGATAATGACGCTATGTTTGTTGTAAGACCCGGCTAATGGGATGGGATGGATGCAGTCGTTAATTTCCGGATCCAAATTATTTCTATTACGATATATATCCTTTGGAATATCGCTGATTGAAGTGGCATTCAACATACACACATGTATTCAAACAATGCGACGTGGTTGTTTGACTCTTTTTAACCATCTTAACAAATTATGAAATAATTTTGATAAGATGTCAGGGAGAATGACTGTCATCATGACTTTACAATTATTGTGTTAGTACATCATCATAGAACACGTACCAAACAAAATCGGAGATCCTCAAAGTATGAGTGAGTTAATATCTAGCGTCAAATCCGCAATATTTCAGCCATATCTTCAAAGAATAGAAAAATGACCCATCAAAGTTTTGGGTCGTCGTGCATATTTAAATAACCTGTAAGTCCTTCGTAAATATGATAAAGTTGAGACTTTACTCCTTCGTTATTTTGTTAACATGGTCCAACAGGAAAAAACGCCCTGTTTTACTCCACAGGTTGCGATGCTTGCCAGGACATGAGTGAATACAAGGATCCAGATGTCACCACAAATCAGGTTGTAATCCACATGGATCTGGAAATGATGTTTGAAAAGAAAAAACCGATGCCTCGTCATCAAAAGGTTCGAAAGAGAGTACAGACTTGAAAAAGAATTGAAATGTCAAAAAAGGCCTCTGCTTTGCGAAACTCTGGAGGAGGAGCTATATTCTGCCACCTCAGTGGGAAAAACAAAATCAACAAATGCCTCAGACAATTCGATGACATGTTCTCAAATTCTCAGATCTTTTGCCTTGGTGAAGGGGAAATCTATTCTCATGAAATACAACGAGAGTGGTTTGAGGATACTGACTTTCTTATCATTACAGTATCTCAGTGTATCTCTACGAGGGTATCTACAGCGAGTGTAAACAGTTACACTTCCACCCACAGATCTCTCGCTGCTGCTTCTCTTCCCGAGATAAAAACATTACTGTTCGTTAAACGCGATGTAGGTCACAGACCCCCGGTTGTCAGAGGATTGGGGAATCTTCAGACAGGAGTAGATATTAAGCTGAGAATATCAATACTCCATGACCCCCTCACGACCAAAGCCAATATTTCTGAATATTTGTACAAATATAGGTTACATCATTTTATTTCAGCATTTTCCAAAAACCGATCTGGTGGGTCATTTTACATTGGAGTTCGTGACGGTGAAATCGGTCCAATCATGGACGGTGTTCACATTACGTCTGAGGATCACACAGCCTTTACAGAAGCTCTGAGACACTTTGTTCGACAAAACCTGATGATCATACCAAACATTCACACTCACGAATCAAATGACCTGGCAGACCTTGTGGATGTTACTTTTCATCAAGTCAGTGAAGACAAAAGCGTGATTGAATTCTCAGTCAGGCCAGTAAATGGATGTGTGTTCACAGAAAAAGGTGGACCCTCTGCCTACAAACTAGATGAAAAGGGTGGTCTTCGTAGGATGACATGTCAAGAATGGATGCAGAAGATTCAGCCTGCAGAATAGAGACCAAATGATGAAGATGCATGATGGGGAAATGTCATAAATGAGAACAGCATGGTCTATAGCATAATGTTCATGGAGAAGTCTTTGAGAAACTTTTGTGTGGACGAAACTGAACTGTTAACGGGACTTGGGGTCTTGTGAAGACAGGAAACACCCTAGTGGGTTTCTATACGACTTTGTCGTCCATAAACATTCTCGTTCAAACTTTGGATGCCAACAACGCATGGTCCTATCAACGTTCAAAGTCCATTCACTGTGGTTTGAACGTACCGTTACAAAATGTGTGTCATTTGGAACAAAATTAGCAACAAACAATTAGCCTCACTGATTATATCATTTTTAATTAAGTATTGATTTATTAGCTCATAAGCAAGAAAATATGTGTTCTGAAATATTTTAATGGGGAACATGTACACAGACAGCACCTTGAGACTAAAGTATTCATCTTAAATGCAAGTGTAAGAACTTCATGGAAAGGTCATGGCACCTGTGAACATTTGGTGATAGGTTGCATTTTGTATATTTGTACACTGTATTGTATATTTTTATAATCGCGATACAGATCAGTACAATTGTGGTTTCATGCAACCAAACGTTGCATGGGCCTATGGCCTTTTCCCTGAATACAGAGCTGTCTGCCTGTATAATTGTGGTTTGAGCTATATAGGGACATATTATTTATATTGGTTTGTGTATCCTTATTTGTTGTCTCAAATGAGCTTCACGATCACTATTATTTCTAAAGTATTTTTGTTGTCAGAAATTATTACTCAGAACTGTATACCAGTAGTTAACCTCGCTGGCTGGCTGTTTGAATCCTTATTTGCGGGCTGGTATATTTGGGTAGGACTTTGTTGTTATCGCATTCGCTCTGCACGCCAGAGTCAAGGAAATTACTCAGGCTGTTCGATTCCCAGCAGTGGGGTAGCTTGATGTCATGTGGCAGGCCCATTGGAGTTCGATCATATCCTCTGCCGTGATATTGTTGGTATAGGGCAAAAGGCGGGGTAAAACCACATACCCCACATTATCGCTCTGCTACTGTAGAGTTTATTCATCTAGGCAAGCTGTATAACACTACTCTGGTAGCATTCCACTTTAAATGTAAATGTGAGATGATTGATGATGATGATGATGATGATGATGATGATGATGATGATGATATCATTCCGGTTTTAAATGTAAATATGAGATGATGAAGATGATATCATTCCGGTTTTAAATGAAATGTGTGATGATGATGATATCATTTCGGTTTTAAACGTAAATGTGAGATGATTGATGATGATGATGATGATATCATTCCGGTTTTAAATGTAAATGTGAGATGATTGATGATGATGATGATATCATTCCGGTTTTAAATGTAAATGTGAGATGATTGATGATGATGATGATGATATCATTCCGGTTTTAAATGTAAATGTGAGATGATTGATGATGATGATGATGATGATGATATCATTCCGGTTTTAAATGTAAATGTTAGATGATTGATGATGATGATGATGATGATGATGATATCATTCCGGTTTTAAATGTAAATGTGAGATGATTGATGATGATGATAATGATCATGAAATCATTCCGGTTTTAAATGTAAATATGAGATGATTGATGATGATGATGATGATGATGATGATATCATTCCGGTTTTAAATGTAAATGTGAGATGATTGATGATGATGATGATGATGATGATGATGATATCATTCCGGTTTTAAATGTAAATATGAGATGATTGATGATGATGATGATGATCATGAAATCATTCCGGTTTTAAATGTAAATATGAGATGATTGATGATGATGATGATGATGATGATGATATCATTCCGGTTTTAAATGTAAATGTGAGATGATTGATGATGATGATGATGATGATGATGATGATATCATTCCGGTTTTAAATGTAAATATGAGATGATTGATGATGATGATGATATCATTCCGGTTTTAAATGTAAATGTGAGATGATTGATGATGATAATGATGATGATGATATCATTCCGGTTTTAAATGTAAACATGAGATGATGATGATATCATTTCAGTTTTAAATGTAAATGTGAGATGAGTGATGATGATGATGATATCATTCCGGTTGTAAATGTAAATATGAGATGAAGATGATATCATTCCGGTTTTAAATGTAAATGTGAGATGATTGATGATGATAATGATGGTGATGATGATATCATTCCGGTTTTAAATGTAAATATGAGATCATGATGATATCATTTCGGTTTTAAATGTAAATATGAGATGATGATGATATCATTTCAGTTTTAAATGTAAATGTGAGATGAGTGATGATGATGATATCATTCCGGTTGTAAATGTAAATATGAGATGATGATGATATCATTCCGGTTTTAAATGTAAATGTGAGATGATTGATAATGATGATGATGATAACATTCCGGTTTTAAATGTAAATGTGAGATGATTGATGATGATGATGTCATTCCGGTTTTAAAAGTAAATGTGAGATGATTGATGATGATGATGATATCATTCCGGTTTTAAATGTAAATATGAGATGATGATGATGATATTATTCCAGTTTTAAATGTAAATGTGTGATGATGATGATATCATTTTGGTTTTAAATATAAATGAGCGATGATTGATAATGATGATGATGATGATATCATTCCGGTTTTAAATGTAAATATGCGATGATGATGATATTCCAGTTTTAAATGTAAATGTAAGATGATTGATGATTTATTTATTGTATTATTTACCGAGTTTTCAATGAATAACGATATGAGATGATTGAAGATTGACGATGGTGATGATATCATTCTGGTTTGAATAAATGTAAATGTGACGATGATTGATGATGATTGATTTACGATGATGACGATGATCATCCGGTTTTAAACGCAAATATGAGATGATGATGACGATATCCCGATTTTAATGATGTAAATGATGTGATGATGATGATGATGATGATGATGATGATGATGATGATATCATTCCGGTTTAAATGTAAATATGAGATCATGATGATTATCATTCGGTTTTAAATGTAAATGTGAAATGAGTGATGAAGATGATGATGATGATCATCCGAAGTTTAAATGATAAATGTGAGATGATGATGATGATCATTCCAGTCTTCAAATGCAACGTGTGACGATAGTGACGATGATGATATTATCCGGTTTTAAATGTAACGACTGACGACGATTTGATGATGACGATGATGATGATGATGATGATGATGATGATGATGATGATATCATTCCGGTTTTAAATGTAAATATGAGATGATGATGATATCATTCCGGTTTTCAATGTAAATGTGAGATGATTGATGATGATGATGATGATGATGATGATGATGATGATATCATGCCGGTTTTAAATGTAAATATGAGATCATGATGATATCTTTTCGGTTTTAAATGTAAATGTGAAATGAGTGATGAAGATGATGATGATATCATTCCGGTTTTAAATGTAAATGTGAGATGATGATGATATCATTCCAGATTTCTTAAACGTAAATGAGATGATATGAGTGATGATGATGAAGATTGATTATTCCGGTTGTAAATAGACATGACATGATATTGATATCATTTCGGTTTTATGTAAATGTGATGATGAGTGATGATGATGATGATATTATTCCGGTTTTAAATGTAAATGTGAGATGATTGATGATGATGATGATGATATCATTCCGGTTTTTAAATGTAAATATGAGATGATGATGATATCATTCCGGTTTTAAATGTAAATGTGAGATGAGTGATGATGATGATGATATCATTCCGGTTTTAAATGTAAATGTGAGATGATTGATGATGATGATGATGAGATCATTCCGGTTTTAAATGTAAATATGGGATGGTGATGATATCATTCCGGTTTTAAATGTAAATGTGAGATGAGTGATGATGATGATGATGATATCATTCCGGTTTTAAATGTAAATATGAGATGATGATGATATCATTCCGGTTTTAAATGTAAATGTGAGATGATTGATGATGATGATATCATTCCGGTTTTAAATGTAAATGTGAGATGATTGAGGATGATGATGATATCATTCCGGTTTTAAATGTAAATGTGAAATGATTGATGATGATGATGATGGTGATATAATTCCGGTTTTAAATATAAATGTGAGATGATTGATGATGATGATGATGATGATATAATTCCGGTTTTAAATGTAAATGTGAGATGATTGATGATGATGATGATGATGATGATGATGATGATGATGATGATGATGATGATGATGATGATGATGATGATGATTGATGATGATGATGATATCATTCCGGTTTTAAATGTAAATGTGAGATGATTGATGATGATGATGATGATGATATAATTCCGGTTTTAAATGTAAATGTGAGATGATTGATGATGATGATGATGATGATATAATTCCGGTTTTAAATGTAAATGTGAGATGATTGATGATGATGATGATGATGATGATGATTGATGATGATGATGATGATGATGATATAATTCCGGTTTTAAATGTAAATGTGAGATGAGTGATGATGATGATGATATCATTCCGGTTTTAAATGTAAATGTTAGATGATTGATGATGATGATGATGATGATGATGATATCATTCCGGTTTTAAATGTAAATATGAGATGATGATGAAGATATCATTTCAGTTTTAAATGTAAATGTGAGATGAGTGATGATGATGATGATATCATTCCGGTTTTAAATGTAAATATGAGATGATGATGATATCATTCCGGTTTTAAATGTAAATGTGTGATGATGATGATATCATTTCGGTTTTAAATGTAAATGTGCGATGATTGATAATGATGATGATGATGATATCATGCCGGTTTTAAATGTAAATATGCGATGATGATGATATTCCAGTTTTAAATGTAAATGTAAGATGATTGATGATGATGATGATGATATCATTCCGGTTTTAAATGTAAATATGAGATGATTGAAGATGATGATGGTGATGATATCATTCTGGTTGTAAATGTAAATGTGAGATGATTGATGATGATGAGGATGATCATGATGATATCATTCCGGTTTTAAATGTAAATATGAGATGATGATGATGATATTCCGGTTTTAAATGTAAATATGAGATGATGATGATGATGATGATATCATTCCGGTTTTAAATGTAAATGTGAGATGATTGATGATGATGATATCATTCCGGTTTTAAATGTAAATGTGAGATGATTGGGGTGTTGAATATAATAGGATTGTGTTCGTGTCCAGTGGACTCTGTAGTGTTTGTCTGTTTTGTTGGGTCTTTTTGTTTCTTTGTGATAAAGGTGATACTTTAATGTTCTATAACTTGTTTGTAGTTCCGTTATCGCCCTGTCTATATTCTTTAAGATGTATGGTACGTTATTAGGTTTTGAGTGTTTATTACAGAAGACTTTTCAATGGTGAAATTGATTTTGTAGAGTTACTTTGCCACTTTGGGAGGTGTTTTCTTTTTTGAAATGCTTTTGATTTCAAGGTTTGAGATAATGGTATGTTTATGTTAACTTCTTGGAGTTTCTGCTTTTGGCGTGTTTAGGCGTGTTTACTTAATTAAACACCAATTGTGGTGGACCCTTAGTGCCCACTTTAATCCCAACTAACCAAGCCGAGGTAACCCCTTCCACAGAGCTAGTTGCTTCCAAAGCGATCGAGTGGCCACAACCGAAAGTAACTGTTTGCCCATGCATCTGGGTCCTGATTGATTTTTTTCGTAACATTACGACCTGTCGCCCAACTCTAAAGTTTATCATAGTCTTCCGAATGTCGTAATGCTACCAAGGTTTTGTGGATGGTGAACCTGATCTATTGTCTTGTCTTTAGTTACACTTAGCTGCTAATAATAAAAGGAAAAAGCATTGTTGTCTTGCATTATTTTTGTTCATATTTAATGATTCTCTGATCTCCAGGACCTGTGAAGGTACAGGTAAGAAATGATCTTCAGTAACCTATGCTTGTCGTAAGAGGCGACCAACGGGATCGGGTGGTCAGGCTCGCTGACTGGGTTGACTCTTATCATCGTATCCCAATTGCGTAGATCGATGTTCATGCTGTTGATCCCTGGATTGTCTGGCCAGACTCGATTATTTACAGACCGTTGCCATATAGCTGGAATATTGCTGAGTGCGGCGTAAAACTAAACTCACTCACTCAGATCTCCAGCGGGTGGTGGGCTAGTCCAGGGATTAAAGCGTTCGCCCGTCACGCTGAAGCCCCCTACATAGATATAGTGTGTGAATCCTATTTCTGGTTTCCCCCACTGTCAGATTGCTGGAATATTGCGAAAAGCGTCGTGAAACTAAACTCACCCACTCTAAAGACTTTTGTTCAGCTTGTTGACATCAGAGAGCGCGAAAATGACGGAGGAGGGACGCTTTGGACTATAGAGAACACTACATTGCTTTCAGAAAGTGTTGGACAAGGAGAAAAACGTCAGTAGCTCTAATAAGTACATATCCCTTTTGACCCGGGTTGGAATTGGTCTTCAGCCACCCATACTTGTCGTAAGAGGCGATTAGTTGTTGCGTTGTGTTTTATCTCCGAGCTGAGAAGTCGGTTAATATGCTGATCAGCTGCCGTGTTGAATATCATTGACAAAACGTATAGCGATACATACATGTGTACAATTGAATGAGTGAGTTAATATTTAACGTCACATCGGCAATATTGCAGCCATATCGTGACTAGAACATATTTGACATTGAAATGGAATATATGTAAATTATAAAAACCTGTCGACGAAGGACAGTAAAAGAACTAGAATATCACAATTAAAATTAAAACTAGCGTGAAAAGTTAAAATTAATACCACTATTTGGACAATACAATATAAAAACAGGCTATAGATCTGAAGGTAAATCACCATACCAGGGACCATGGGGACTTACAGTCCCTTTGCTACCTGCATGGATCCTAGTTGGATTTACACCATCCCTTCAGCTGCTGGCGATTGGCAGAAATGTTAGCCACAATTAAAATATGAATACTACGTTTAAAAATCCTGATAAGCTTAAAGTGACTTTGAAAATTTGGGGACTTACGTACCCTCTCAGGAGGACCATAATATTACAATACTTCAACCCCTCTTGAGGGTACAGCCACTAACAAGGGTTGCTATGGATTTCTTGCAACACCACAATGTTGACTTACTGCCTTGGCCTGCGAATTCACTGGATCTCTCCTCGATAGAGCATGTTTGGGACGAGATGGATCGATGTCTACGCCATCTTCCTCATCCGCCAGACAACGTCCTTGACCTTCAACAGAACTTGAGAGAATCTGGCGTGACATTCCGCAAGCCTTCCTTGTTTGATAGGCTCTCTGCGTCGTCGATGCACTGCTGTTCTCAATGCCGATGGTGGCCATACCCGTTATTGAGCTTGTGACATGGTCGTTTGACCCCCTGCCCCGCTTGTGGACTCGTGACGTCATTGTGATTGCCTTTTCAATTGAAATTCTCCCGACTTGTTATGGTCTCATGATCCTCCATTAAAGTTTATATGTACCTTTGACTTTGTTATCGTACTTATCAACTGGGATAATATTTTGACAATGCACAGTTTCTGTATGTGGCTAGTATAATGTCATATGGGGCTTTTGTCTGTGGGACTTCGGTCCTGTGGGGCTTTTGTCAGGCAATCTTTAAGCCAGATCGGTAAACTGCAGTGTATATACAGCAATTATGAAATGTATACCCCAACGTGCTTGGCGCTTTCTCACCATGTGAACATACGTCTCATAGCTTTTCAGAAATTGTGTGAAGCAGGTACTTTATATGCGTATTAAAGGATGCCAAGTATGATCGCCAGTTTGAACTAAACTTGACAAAGTTGAATTTGGATTCACGTTGGTGCTTAGATACTAATGCTCATGAGTATATAGTAAAGACATCCATCTATATATCTTAGACGGACTCCAGCTTCAAAATTACTCTCGTAGTTCACCCGTGACGATCCGGGTTAGAATTGGCCTTCTGTAAACGGTATTCGGAAAAAGAAAAGAAAAAAAGAAATGATTTTTGCTAGGAAAAAATGAAAAATGAAAAAAAGAAATACTTTTTCCATACTTTATTACGTGTGTATCTCATACTACATGATAATAAGCAAACTTTTAGTAACAGATGATGGTTTTAAATGTTAACTAATCCCTTGTTAGTGGTACCCACAATGAGAAGCCAATGAGAAGCCAGTGAGAAGCCTGTGAGAAGCCAATGAGAAGCCAAGGTAACTCATTAGCTATTCAGGTACTCACCAATTACTTAAAAGTCTTATAATGTCTTGATTAACTGGTACATGTTGATACAAGAAACAGGTTCCCTTGTACAATACCTAACATCAAAGACCCCAATCCAAGCTGGATACTCATGGTAATACCACTTCTTATACTCGTTAGACAAAATGTTGGTGAGTTTTTTTTGCCAATTATACTCACAACTTCATAAAAATATGTTACCTACACCAATTTCCCCCATTTTTTTTCTTTTTGTCCTTTTTCTTTTTTTCCCTTACTTTTTTCCGCTTTCTTTTTTCCTTTTCCTTTTTTTCCTACATCTGCAATCTATGCTTGTCGTTAGAGGCGACTAAAAGGATCGGGTGGTCAGGCTCGCTGACTTGGTTGACACATGTCATCGTATCCCAACTGCGTAAATCGATGCTTATGACGTTGATCACTAGATTGTCTGGTCATGACCTAGTTATTTACAGACGGCACCATATAGCTGGAGTATTGCTGAGAGCACCGTTAAACAACAAACAAAACAAACAACCCAGTTCAAGTTACCATTATTGTTTACTTATCCGCCCATAGGAATCCAATGCGGCATAAAATAGTCTTCTTTCACGAACTGACTTTCCAGCCTCCCTCCGGGTTTGGGATAATCTTTATAGTACACCGTGTGCCCATTGATCAGCCATGCCGCCCACCATCCAAACGTCCCAACCGTCATTATCATATGATCAGACAAAACCAGAGCCCCGAAGTCCACGAACGGGTTCGTGGTGGTCATCAAGATCATATCTTCAGAGTCCAGATTCCGCCGGCACCAGTCCTTATCATCCGTGGCTATCAAGAACACTGGATTACGAAACCTCTCCCTCATATGTTGAACAGCTTTGTATATGTACGAAACTGGGGCTTCGGTATAACCGTGTTCGTTTTGTACCGTCATATCAGTCCGACGTACATGCAGTCCTATCACTGTGCGATTTTGAACGGGGATGTGTAAAGATGAAATATCTTTCTGCGTAGCATTTCATATAGATCTGAAAAACGGAACTCTTTAATAATTTGTCCTCTAAACGGTTCAAAATACTTCCAGGATTGGAGAAAGTGCCCAATGACATAATTTCCAGCTGGCAGATTTTCGAATTCAGGCGAATAACCGGCATATTTTCTTTCAGAAATGTGAAGCCAATATTTCGTATCCCAATTTTCAACGAAAGAAAGATTGAACACTGTGTTTAAGGTATTATCCGGGTTGATAAACGGCCTCTTCCCGTTACGGAAAGCTATACCGAGCAGAGAAGCATACTCAAACATCAGATTACCCAAGCGCCCAAAGGATTCAACCGTCAGCATGTCGCCATTCGGATCTCTCGTCCGCCATCTTGAAAAAGTACTTTCCACAAAACTGTCATTTACAGATCTGTTGTTTTCTGGTACGTTAATCCCAGTCTCGGATGAAACCAACTTTGGAGGTATTACCAATTGTGTATTCATATTTGACCGAAAACCCATAGGTTGAACATTAGGCTCCTTCGAAATAGCATGGTATGCAAAGATTAAAAATATGGTAGTTAAGAGAAGAGTTGCTACAATTCGCATATAGTTCATAGCGTTGGATTTTATTGTTTCTATGTGTATTTTCATGAAGCTGTTTCATGTAACAATATACACATCTTCTGGCTTTACAATAAAGCGGTCAGTGCTGATGAATTTTCTTCAACGGAATTCCGCAGAAGAGCAGACTGAAACAGATAAAATAATCATTAAGTGTTGAGTGAGTTTAGCTTTGCGCCGCCTTTAGCAATATTCCAGTAATATCGTCGCGGGGGACATCAGAAATGGGCTTCACACATTGTACCATGTGGAGAATCGAACCCCGGGTCTTCTGGGCGAGTGAATGTATTAACCACTAGCGTACCCCACCGGCCCGAAATTAAAAATAAACACATTGGAAGTGATTCTGTGTCCTAAGAAGGATTTGTTTGCGTTCGTTTCAATTCTCCATCTAAAATAGACCACTTCCATTAGCTACGTCTTCCTCACTGGCTGGGGGGTGGGGGTGAGGGTGTTAGCCTAGTGGAAAGCCCGGGTTCGAATCCCCACATACAATGTGCGGCGTAAAACCATACTCACTTACTCACTCAAAACCCAATCACCCAACCCCCACCCCACCCCCACCCCTCACCACCCACTTTCGGTCTCTTGACTGAAGGCAATCCAGTTGCGTCTACGTGATCTCAGTCACTGGATTATGTGATCGACAATCGATTTTTTTACAGCCATAAGCTGTGTTCCAGGAAAAAAACTTTATCTCAAAGTCATGTTAATAATTTCCCCATAATTTCGACATAAACGCAGTTTTTCATGGCGATTTATTTTTCTGTTGTTACAATGACAAACGGAAATTTCGTTAAGTTTATGGTAACACATGTTATATTTGGGTTTGCATTTTCTCAATAAAGTACAGATTCTAGTATTTTTGTTGGGCATTGTTGTATGTAATGGTAATAGCCTCCGTGGTTCTGTGCACAGAGCTTAGGTCACAAATGACAAACGTCGAGCTCGGACAATCCTCGGATGGGTGACCGTGTTTGGCAGCCTGACTCCTGAGTGTTTCTAGGACTTTTACAGTCCTGCCCTACAACGAAGCACATGTGATGCATGTGGTCTCATCTTAGGCAAGTGAGTTTGTTCATATTGCCTCTGTTCATCCAGCAGAAAATGGGTACCCGGTGGGATAAAGTCATGTGACTATAACCTTCTAGCGCCTAACAGGCAGCTTTGGTTAGCCGGGGTAATAAGAATCAGATTCTGATTAAGCGCGTGAGCAATCACTTGGTGTTTGGAGACTGTGCGCTACAAAAGATGACTTATTATTATTATTATTATTAATATGGCGCTCATATCCAGGCACATTGTCTGCTCACGGCGCTACGTACATTACTATCCCCGGTCATAAGACACATATTTGGGTTGAATTTCATCTCGGATTCCAAATCACACCTTTAGATTCAGGCACATAATTGCCAGCATAAACGGAGCTTAGTAGTGCAGTGGTAAGGCGTCTGCCTATCACGCTGAAGGCCCGGGTTCGATCCCCGGTTGAGGCACCTATAGGTTCGGGTCCCGAGGTGGGCACATCTGCGAAGTATCCTTGGACAAGATACTTAGATCCACATTGTCTCAGTTCACCCAGCTGTAAAATGGGTACCCGTGAGGATGTGCTGGCAATGTGAGTGTTTAGTTCATTTTGCCTAACAGGCAGCATGACTGTATGATCCCCAGGGAGTTGAAAAAGTATCGGAAAGTACGATAGTGTCCTATAGTAGTGTACGTTGCGCCGTGAGCAGGCAATGTGCCTGAATATGAGCGTCATAAAAGCGGACTAATACTATAACATACAAAGTCAGCCGTCTAGCCCACTCAGCCAGCACGACTACTACAAAAAATGGAAGTCGGACAACTGGAAGTCTAGATCACAGATTTTGTGTACCCCTCTTACAAGAGGAAATTATGAATACATAATGCCAAACATAAGTACCAGAATCTGTACTTTATTGAGAAAGTGTAATCTCAAATATAACATGCGTTACATTTGACCAATTTCTAAATGACATTGTGTATTCGTGCTTAGGCTACATTAAAAAAGACGCATGTGAAAAATATAACGTCAATGCCAGACAATAACCAGTCTAGGTTATCATCCGATACACATCCAATAGGGCGCTCGGGTGTGCCTCTGCATGAAAGGATTGGTAATGACAGCGGGTGTCCACCAAAAAGGTGAGCATGTTCTGTTATATCGAAAACAATGACTGCCCACAAAATTTGCATCAAAAAGGTAAGTGTGTCAGTCTTTGTTATCATCATGATCCTTGAGATACACGTACAGCTTCGGAAACACGTGCACAATCATGCATGTAAGTCGCAAAAAATTACATAAGCCGTTTTGTATTTTTAAAATAATCCTCTAAATATCTACTATGTATTTTCTTTTGTAACTAAGATTTTTTGACTCACTAAAAACATTCTCTTCTGAATGTATAATAACTTTTGGATGCTTTTCGGCAGTTAATTCATACGTGTATTGTCAAAGTTACCCTTCCACTCACTCACTCTATCTATCTATCTTTCTGTCTATCTAAATATGGATAGATAAATCTACCTATATAACTCTCGCTCGCTCTCTCACTCTCACTAAAGTAACACAAACCCTCCCCTCCCTCTCTCGCTGTCTCTCTCTCTCTCACTCTTTGTCTCTCTCTCTCACTCACACACAAACTAAAAAACAAAATACAAGCACCCTCACCCCACCCCCTCAATAATAGCAAGTGGTTGGTCCTTAGCGACAGGATCGTGTATAATGATACTCACAGTATCTACAGTCCATTTCCATCCTTTGCCATGGTACAGTGACTCACTGAAACTTATGAGCCTGCTATGTACCCGTGCTCCGGCAAATGACAAAGACCCAGCTCTGACATACATGCAGCTGTCGATAATGCTGTCACGATGTTCACGCAGCTGTTGATGCTGTCATGGCAGAAGTGCCTTTAGTTTCGAGTTATGGATTTACAGTCTAGTAACGTGTATTAAGTTTAATCACCTGGATGTGCCCGTGCCAAATTACATAGTCTGTGAAGGCCTTGGACACTTGAATCCACATGCTGGTTCAAAGACTGATCTCTGAACATAGTTGGATATAAAAAAATAATTCCTTTTAAATTGAAAATGAGCCCCAGTGAAAAGAGGAATTCAGCCAAGTCTGAACCTGAGGAAAATCTAGACTCGATTCATTTAGGTGAGGTGAGGTGAAATTGGGTTTAACGTCGTGCTTGAGAATATTTCGCTCATATGACGACGTGCATGCGTGTGTATGTGTATGTGCGGCTGCTTGTACTAGCCCAGACTGAAGCTGGTCTTATAGTGCTAGCCCACTGATCAGATACCATGCCGCAGTGAAGCATGAATACCCCACTCACACACATTATACTGACTCTAAGCCGACCAGTCCTTGTTGTACCCATTAATGCCGAGCGCCAGGCAGGGACCAACAAGTACCATATTTTAACGTCTTTTGGTATGACGCGGTCGGGGATCGAACCCGCGACCTTCCGCTCTCCGGGCGGACGCTCTAACCACTACACCACGGAGGCGGTCGCTTCACTTAGGGCTTTAGCATGGCAGATAGGGCTATGAAAATAATGCGGTTCAGGAATGTACTGACTGGTTAACATTGTTTTATAATATGTACTTCCCATCAAAGGTTTAGACTCACTAGAGTAAATATAGCCACTTACCTCAGGCAGCTGTTCTAAACTATATGTTGCAAAATATCGCATACTGTTTAAAGGCACTGTTTACACTTGAACTGATGTATTGTAAAACAAATTCGTACAGTTCAAAAGATTAATGTCATGAGTTCAAGAAATGATAAAACTCGGTGAAAATTGGCGAATTCTTAACAAAACTTTACACTAAAAACGCAGCTGTTCACATACATGATATTTGCACATGCTTTCAGCAATTTGATGCATGATCCTCGTGCAATATATCTGCGTAAGGTTTGCAGTTGGTTCCTCCAAGTTAGTGGAGAAATTCATCTTCGATGTAAACATGCATTTATACATAACATATAGTGGGTGTTTTCAGTGAGTTCAAACCTCAAAGGGGGAGTACAGAACAAACTTTATGGATAACAACTTATTTTATTCGTGAGTGTGAGTGCCACGTTTCGATACAGATTCTTGTACCGTCGTCAAGCTGATTCTTGTACCGTTGTCAAGCAGGAATCTGTATCGAAACGTCGCACTCACGAATAAAAGAAGTTGTTATCCATAAAGTTTGTTCTATATTGTACTTCCAAACTTCTAAAATGATACTCAAAGAAATTGTTGTTTTTAAATATTTTTATTCGAATATATAAATATATTATTACAGAGAAGAGGCCCAGGCCAGGGTATCAGGGGTCTATGAAATAGTGAGTGAGTTTAGTTTTACGCCGCACTCAGCAATATTCCAGCTATATGGCGGCGATATATAATCGAGTCTGGACCAGACAATCTAGTGAGCAGCATGAGCATCGATCTACGCAATTAGGATACGATGACGTGTGTCAACCAAGTCAGCGAGCCCGACCACCGATCCCGCTAGTCGCCTCTTACGACAAGCATGGGTTACTGAAGACCAATTCTAACCTGGGTCTTCACAGGTACTCACACTAAGCACCACTACAGCTCACTGTTTGGATGTATGTTCGCAAATGTAAGAAGATTATGTTTCTAGAAATAAAAATATGATGAAACAGCTGAAAGGCGTAGTTTCTTTTGTCCCTCAGTTTTGTTTAGCGGTAGTTGGGGTGAGGCTGCTTGCCGTGGCCGATATCCGCCTTTGAACTGTCTAACCCAGTCTTGATTATGAGTGAGTGAGTTTCGTTTTACGCCACACTCAGCAATATTTCAGCTATATGGCGGCGGTCTGTAAATAATCGACTCTGGACCAGACAATCCAGTGATCAACAGCATGAGCATCAATCTGCACAATTGGGAACCGATGACATGTGTCAACCAAGTCAGCAAGCCTGACCACCCGATCTCGTTAGTCGCCTCTTACGACAAGCATGGGTTACTGAAGGTTCATTCTAACCCGGACTTTCACGGGTCCTGGATTATGAACAACAGATGATACATCGCTGCGAGCTGGTTTTAACAACAATGAAACAAACAACATGACCTGGAATTTGTAAACACCAATGTGAGTGAGTGAGTATGGTTTTACACCGCTTTTAGCAATATTCCAGCAATAGCACTCCGGGGAACACCAGAAATGTGTTTCACACTTTGTACCCATTTGGGGAATCGAACCAAGGTCTTCGTCGAGACGAGCGTTAACCACTAGGCCACCCCACCGCATTGTAAATAAATCCTTCATTCATTTGTGTGCCTCTTCGCCATCACGGTCGTCATTGTCAACGTCAAGACTGAAGTTCTGAACATGACTCAGCTTAATCAAATCCTTCAGTGTAACATCCACGGGTCTCTATCACAAAAGGCAATCTTGGTCCAAGTAAAGTTCTGATCTTGAAACAGCAAAGCTCCAACAAAGACCTTGGTTCCGAAAATCTCTCCCTAATTAATCCCACCATCTCTTCCAGGTCTTCATCTAACCAAAACAGATCCCTCTCAACAAACGAGTCTTTTGCTATGACGTCATATCCGGCTTCTAGGAGGGTTTGAAGAGCAAGAAACTGTCCGCGAGAAATCAAATTATCAACAAAAGGTTTCTCCATATGATTTGTGTACAGCAAATCCAAAGAGGCATTTCTCTCAATCGCCAGATAATACACGATATCAACTTTACCATATAAGGATGCAGTGAAAAGAGAGGTTGCACCAGACTTATTGCGCATGTTCAGATCAGCACCACGTGAGCAGACGAGACGAATGAGAATGAGGAAATCTTCGGGATGTCTATAATCGGGATAGCGTATGTCCTCTTCAGAAGAAAAAGCATCACGCCCAGGGGAATCAAGGACGAGGAGAAAAACTGGGCTTCTTCCATATTTGTCACGTGCATTGACGTCAGCACCACGTGACAGAAGAACGTCACACATGTCCATTTGACGAGGTCCTGGCGTCTTGACCGCAACATGGAGAAGTGAAAAATAGTCCAGCGACGAATGAGGCTTGTTCACGGACGCTCCCGCCTTGACAAGATAGTCCACGACGTCAACACGACCTCCGCGCACTGCAGCGTACAGTATAGTCTCGTTGTTGTTGTCACGTGATCCTACATCGATGTGATGGACTTCGACCAGCGTTCTGACCACGTCCAGATGTCCTCTGGCGCAGACTTCACGTATAGGCCATGGGCTGGAAGTGCCCAAGTTCAGGTCAAAGGCCTGGTGTCCCATGTCAAGGAGGGCGGTCATGATCTGGACATGGCCCGACTTGGCTGCCATACAAACTGGTGACGTCAGAGACCCGATATGCGATCGCTGAGCGTCTGTCAGTTTACCTTGTTCCAGCTGAACCTTTTCAAACAGCTGAGGTGTGATTTTCATTTTTATTAGAGAACCTTTTCAACATCGCCCTTCTGAATCAGCTCGTTGAGTCTTTTCCAGTTGTTGAGGTATGATGAGCTGATTGGTGATCCGAAAAAGGATAGGAAGGTAGCCATCTTGTATCGGTAACGGGAGGTGTGTCCAGCTGGTGCCTCGGTAAGGCGATAGCATTATCTCATATTATCTGTTTGCGTATCACCTGATGTCACCTGAGCTAAAGTAGGTAGTGTTTGGCCTTGACAGTCTGGGTTGATGGTAGTGGGAGTAGTGAACTTTGTGTGCGTATGTGTGTGTGTATGTTTTATATCATTATTATATTTTTCAGTACCGAAATATGTCTTATCTGTGTTTTGAACAAAGAAGTGTACAAAATGTGAAAATATCACTTTGTCGGAAGTACGTCATGGATTCAGTTTTTTTTGTCCATCTTGTTACGCAACACAATAAAGGCAATGCAACCATATGCATTTCACGAAATGCCCTTGGTCATCGGATGACCATCCAGCGAAAAAGGGACGTTGGGGTAGCCTAGTGGTTAAAACGTTCACTTGTCACGCCGAAGACCCGGGTTCAACCCGGGTTCATTTCTCCACTTGGGTACAATGTTTGAAGCCCATTCCTGATGTCCCCCACCGTGATATTGCTGGAATATTGCTAAAACCTGCGTAAAACTAAAACTCACTCACTCACTCCAGCGAAGAAAACTTGCACCGATCAGCTAATCGCCGGGGCATTCAGTACACCGAGTTGGCATTTTATGTGCAAGTGACTTTATTTCGCTCGATTAGCAACGGTCATTACCTGTATGTGTGTGTTCATTGACACTATAAACAGTTTTCACAAATGTTCAATCGTTCTCTTCTCTTTCTCTCGGCGCGCCATGTTTGTTTGTGGTTGCAGGGTATTGGGGTTGGAGTTTTGCCAAAAGTATGGATTAATATTTTTATAATGATGGATATTCGTAGAATGACAATACAAAAATAGATAGCAACTGATACAGGTGCGTGGTCTCGGTTTTGTATCATATTTTCCAGTATCGAAATACGCCTTGTCTGTGTCTTTAGTTTACAGTTGGGAGAAATTTGATTTCGTTAATGGAAGTTTCTTGCATGAGTATTGCGAGGTGAGGTGAAATGGGGTTTAACGTCGTACTTAAGAATATTTCGCTCAAATGACGACGTGCATGCGTGTGTATGTGTGGCTGCTTGTACTAGCGCAGACTTAAGTGCTAGCTCACTGAGATACCATGCCGCAGTTAAGCATGAATACCCCACTCACACACATTATACTGACTCCGAGCCGACCAGTCCTTGTTGTACCCATTAATGCCGAGCGCCAGGCTGGGGCCAACAAGTCTTTTGGTATGACGCTGCCGGGGATCGAACCCGCGACCTTCCACTCTCCGGGCGGACGCTCTAACCACTACACCACGGAGGCGGTGCTTCATTAATCGAAAACCTTGTGGTAAATGATCAATAGACTATTCCATGTGTCTCGTGACATTTGACGTATCTGTCATCAAGTGACATTAAAAACGTGATATTATCCCGACACGTAAGCACGCACACACACACTCGCGCGTATATTATGTCACATCGAACGATGAATAAGTCTGATCTACACACACACGCGCATGGGTGTGTGTGTGTGCGTGCGTGCTCGCGCGCACGTTTTAAGATGCATATGTTAATGAATTGTGGCAATCTGACAGTGAACGGGAAACTAACTTGCATCGCAACGGATACATGCGTACGGGCATGCGCATAACACAATATTTTGCCATGCTTAAACCAAATTGTTTTTTGCGCTTAGATTTGCCATTTCATTATTCCATGAGGGTCAGTTTATCCAGATAAAAGTTAAATTGTGGTTCCCTTATTATGGCTAATGGTTACATATTGATTCAATGAAAAATATGGAGTGTAGCGGTATTTTATGCCATGTGCATAGTTAGAATACAGTGATTCAGTGCACTGGCATAGCCCTTTTCGAACATAAAACATTAATTCAATGACCTATTTTGACCTCACAACCACACAGGAAGGGAAAGCCTTTTATTATAGAAATACAACCAGGTTGACAGGAAACACGTGTCAGACCAAGGGGGAGTTAACCCTGCTGTTTGGCTTGGGCTGCCTTGGCGAGTCTTGTGATTTCAGCAATCTCAGCCTACAGAGCACACTTGAGGGCATCGGCTTGGTGTCCTTTGGTGCAGGACTTGCAGGACTTGGTGATCTTGTTCTCGCATACTTCAGCCTTGCATTGTTCTTCGGCAAGGTCTAGGAAAAGGGTAGTATTTAAGAATTATGTAGGTGCCTAATTGCGTGACTGGCAGGCGCTAGGGCCGCATATGCTTACTCTTTTTGCGAGCACCTGGTGTCATCTCTGATTTTCAGTCGTCCATTCGCATACTTTTTCACTCTTATTTTGACATTTGCACTAAATGGAACTTGTTTCTTAAAAAAAGTAAAGACTGCGACCTTTGCATCAAATAGAATCTGACACGTCAAGACTGGGCATTTTATTGCACCAATGTTTTATGCATACATGTGTCGCCAGATTCAATTAATCAACGCAAATATATTAAGACCAGAAATTATTGAGAATTTTAGGAATATGTTTAATTGGATTTCTAGTATAAACAACCTTGACCAGCTATCAAGTGCTTGGTTTCATTCAAGAGACACAACTCCGTTAATCATTTTTCATTAGTTTGTGAAGAGTTATCCCCCTTTGTTTACTTGCTAGCAGACGACATTTTCAGTGATCCTCAGTATAGATGATTAAGAGAAGAGGAAGTTGATTTTAGAGTATTATAACAAGGACATCGGACCAGCTAAATTGATTTCAAGTAGAACAGGCATCCCTTTGTCCACAGTTTATCGTGTTTTGAAAAGATCGCAAATAGATATGGCATTGAGCACTAGGGGGGCGCAGGTAGGCCCAGAAAATTGACTGTCGGTGACAGAAGGCGGCTTGGTATTCTTGTTTCTAAAAACAAACGAAGGAGTTAAGAAAACTTAAGGCTGGATATGATTGATAGAGGAACTGTGGCTGTATGTAAGGAGACAATTAGAACTGAGCTGCATGCAATGGGTTGGCAGAAAAGTCGAGGAATTCCATCACCGATCACGAAACCTGAACAAAAGGAGCGAAGGTTGAACTGGTGCTTACAGCATAGAAATTTTAACTGGGACAGTGTGATTTTCTCACATGAAAGTTCTGTGTGGCTGTTTCCTAATACAGTGAAATTCTGGACCAAACAAATTGAAAAACCTTTGTATCAGCGCCAAAAGTACAGTCCGAAATTTAAAGTGTGGGGTGGCATATCTGTGTTAGGGGCAACGCCCCTCTGTGTATTTGAAGGGAAGATGAACAGTAAGCGGTACACAGATATTCTCGATGGACATTTACTTCCATCTGCTCACGTGTTCTATGGAAATTTTGTGGATTTTCCAGCAGGACTACGACCCAAAACATCGTTCAAAGCATTCACAGGCCTGGTTTCGGACCCAAAATATGACTTTTTTAGATTGGCCAAGCTATAGCCCTGACCTTAATCCAATAGAAAATGTTTGGGGATTTATGAAGGAAAGTGTCAATAAGAAAAATCTGACAAATATTGCTGAAATGAAAGAAGAGGTGGTCCGATATTGGGACAGCGGGGACCACGACTTTCTAACTTCTTTGATCAGTAGTATGCCCCGCCGCATTGAAGCCTGCATTGCTGCCCATGGTAACTTGACAAAATACTAACTGTTCACCTGTCTTTGAATCTGGAGTTATGTTCTGCTAATATTCACATTTAATACGTGAGTAATGAGTGAAAAAAAAAATGCAATCTTTAAATTCTCAATAATTTCTGGTTGTACTACATGTAAGTATATTATTACGGGTATATCAGTGAAACTACTAAGTCCCTGAATAGATGTAAGTATCATTGGTTCATTTTTTATAACAAAACAATCTCAGTATTTGTATGCACGAGCTTGATGGTAAAATGTAAATATCCTTGTTTTATCATGCAGATTTTGTTAGATACATCCGTAATATTGTACTTAATGGTCATTCATAGGGAATATTATTTTATTTTCTGGCTTACCGATATTATATTATTTTACGAACATTCCTCCCAAACATCCTAAAGGAAAAGGCCTGAAACATCTGGTCCAACGTGTATGAAGTATATAGCATGGGCAAGAGCTATACATATAAGTCTATTGGTACGGGTATATTAGTGATACTACTATATCCACAAATAGATTTAAGTATATCAGTGATACTACAGGGATACTGTGAAATGGAATCACATAAAATACACAATCTTCTGCTCAAATAATATCTACATAATGCAGGCATTGTCAATATTTACTCCCTTAGAATGCTCGTACACAATCTTATCTACTTTCCAAGTAGATCAAGCAGCATAAATAATCCAAACATTATAATATGAATAATCCTCTAAGGAAACGCAGTGAAAAGCATTATCTGATCATAAATAATCCTCTAAGTAAACGCAGTGAAAAGCATTATCTGATCATAAATAATCCTCTAAGTAAACGCAGTGAAAAGCATTATCTGATCATAAATAATCCTCTAAATAAACGCCGTGAACAGGATTATCTGATCATAAATAATCCTCTATGTTAAAGCAGTGAAAAGCATTATCTGATCATGAATAATCCTCTAAATAAACGCAGTTAAATACATTACCTTTTAATGAATAATCCTCTAAATAAACGCATTACGTTTTCATGAATAATCATCTAAGTAAACGCAGTGAAAAGCATTATCTGATAATGAAGAATCCTCTAAGTAAACGCAGTGAAAGCATTATCTGATCATAAATAATCCTCTAAGTAAACGCAGTGAAAAGCATAATCTGATCATAAATAATCATCTAAGTAACCGCAGTGAAAAGCATTATCTGATCATAAATAATCATCTAAGTAAACGCAGTGAAAAGCATTATCTGATCATAAATAATCCTCTAAGGAAAC